GAATCTGCTATCAACAAAGAAAGGGAGAATAACGAAGAGGATACTAAGCGGCAATTAAATCGAGAATTAGATGCTGCAGCTAATAAATTTACAACATCATTGACTCTGGCAAAAGAAGATTTATCTAAGGAGCGACAAAAAATTCAAATTTTAGAACAAACTATCGCTCAACAAAAATCCGTAAGAAATGCTTAGCTACCTGATAGAAAATACCTCTCTGTTCATCCTATAATATTAATTAGAGTATTATTCCAAATAATTTCCAACAGCAATAGTAATCATCGGGCTTATTTTAAGTTATATTTATCCTTTCTGTTTAATAGGAAATTCAGGAATTATATTTAGAGAAAGAACAACTCGAATTAGATGGTAATGATAGACTTTTACAAACCGAAGAAAATTTAAGAAAGAAATTGGATGCTCAACTTGAAGCTGCTCGTGATCAGTTCCAATTTGTAAGTTATGACTAAGCATGAAGTCGCTCTTTCGGTTTATTTGAATTATGTCGATTAGTAGTTAGATACATAATAGTAATAATTTATTTTAAGATATAAAGTGCGCTTAAATTACCTTAATAACTAGAATAGATTTATTCAATTCTGGTATTTTTTTTCATTTTACTCAAGGAAAAAGAGCGTGATATTGAAAGAATAGTCGATGAAATGAAAAAGAAACATTGGAAAGAAATCACCGATTTAAAGACTGATAACCAAAATGAATTGAAGAAATTGGGAAGAGAAAAATCGAATGTAGATAAAATTGATAAATTGATAATGAAGGAAATCGAAGAAGAATGCAAAGAATGTTGCCAATTTCTTGGTTTAAGCAAGTCTTGGCATAGTGAGGAAACTGATAATGTTAACATACAAGATCGAAAGATCAATGCACTGGTTAGTTGATGATGGATATCATTCTGATATTGCCATCTTATGGCTTAGATTACAGTTCAAAGGTGTTTGTTGATCAATATATCTGCATGATATTATGCAGCAGCTTAACGCAAGAATTCTAAATTTCTACATGTAAACTCATTGATCTGTATTACTAAACTGTCGGTAGCTTAAAAATCGTAAACTTCTTCACGATCATACCATTCTATTTGCGGTCAGTTGTTAATTATCATGATTCGGTAGTTGTATTCAGTAGTTTAAGCATCGCAAACACTACAATTGCCATACCTTCCACTTGCAATTAGTTACTAATTGTCGTGGCTTAGTTATTATAAATTTCACAATAGCTAAAATTCTGCAATGCTTATTCTTAGTCGTTAAACTTTTGCATGCTAACATAAATAATTTCCTATAATATTCTTCTCTATATACATATGAGAATTAGCACAGTCTTGTGATACGTATGATTCAAGTGAGCGAAATAGGATAGATTTCGAATAGCTCTGATTGTAAATGATTCACTTTTCCATGCATTTATGTCGTAGCAGAATTAGTTTTGCATCTCACTGAACTTTATCTAATATTCCAATCTATAAATTACACAATTTGATTCGTTTTTAGGCAAATTTACGTCGATGCAATGAAGATTTACGTCAACACATGAGCAACCTACAGCACAAATTGGCATCAGACAATAAATTATTAGAGCAAGCTCGATTAGAAAAGGTACAAGTATAGAGTAAACTTATACAGTGGACATGAATATCTCACCAATACAAAATCAATTTTAGAATCGGTATCTCTAGATTCTAAACTGAATGCAAGTTTGCTAAATATCATTATTTCTATATTATAAAATAAAAATTTTATAGATTTCCGAAAGGCAAGCACTTGAAAGAAATTTTGAAATTCAAAAAACTAAGGAATTTGAAGCTTTTCGGGAACAGTTAGTTCGGGTACGACGGTAGCTATTTTGATATTGAATACTTAAGTAGCTGCAAATAAAGGATTTAAATTAATACTATTGTAGATATCCATGTCTTAAAATCAGATTTAATTGTTCTATACTCTAGGATCATTTAGAAGAAATAACAAAACTGCATCACGATGTTATTCGTGGCAAAGATGAGGTAGAACTACGTCGAGACTTAAAAGAAAAGGTAAATTGTTGCATGAGTGTATCTAATTATATTATAATCTGAGAGCACTGAGATGTACATCTTTCCCAGCGAGGCTAAAATTTCATTTAAAAATTATCTTCAAAGCTTTTAAAGTACTCTCTTCTGCTGTTATTTCATATTTAGGAGCTAAAAATCAAAGAATATGAAAGAGAAATGCAGAGTTGGAAGGAGAAAACAAGTAGAGGCCTGAAATTAAAATTTCAGCATGAATTTGATATAGAGATAGAGCGGTAATGACAATGCTATTGGAATTGCAATATCAAAATATTTTTGCATTGATCTTGCTATAATATAAGGAATAAATTCTCATATGGTCATAAAATGCTTTTAAATAGGCGCATGAAAGAGATTCAACAACAGCAAAACATAAATTTAAGAGTGAGCTAATGTCTTAATTTGCGCATAGTGGTGCTAGTGTAGTAATTCCACTTCGTAACCATTGTCAACGTTGGCTTTTTAGGTTAATGTTAATAATAATGAGAAACATGATAGCAGCCATATTAACAACAGCTACAACTCTCATCCATCAGCCAATACAAGCTATATAAGCAATACTAGTAGTTCTACTAGCCCAAATACTTCACGGCAAGAGAGTACGGCAAAATTATTACGGCATCTACAAGGTCGAGTAAAAGAATTACGCCAAGCAAATGAAGATTTGAGGCGTGATGGCTTAGTTGGCTCAACAAACAATTCTGAGGTAAATTTCAACAATTTTTTTATAGTAAATGGTTATACTACTTGATAAAGGTAAAGTTATTACAACTATCCTATATTTACTGCAATTATCATACTATCATACAGGTAGAAAATAGAGAAGGAAGTGGTGAAGTTGTCCAGCTTCGTAATGCCATTCCGTTGTCAGAAGATAAACCTCAGCGATCTTCAATATTATTAAATCAGAAATTGGAAGAATTAAATAAAATGCAAGTAGCTCTGCAACAAAAAACTAAGGTTAGTAGTAAATTTAAGCTCAATCTTTATATATTAAATGTACATAATATTTATTTGATCATAGTTATGCCAAACGATTAATTCCTTATTAAATTTCTTTCCATTATTCATTTTAGGATCATTTGGCCCTCGAACATGCTTATTCCGCGCTTAAAGAGAAAATTTCGTGATGAAAAATCAATAATTATACCAGTCAAAATAGAAGCCAAAACGCAGTAGATCAGTGGATTGGCAATTAAATATTATCCTCTTCAGTCAGTAGTACTTGATAATTTAAATAAATTATTTATACCTCGGTATGATATTACTATTTAATTATATCATATTCGAGTACGCTATTTTATTATTATATCGGATTCCTGTCACTATACTTTCTTGATTCTTAATGATAATAGGAAATTATTTTATATCCAATGCTACCAATAATTGAAAAAAATCCCTCAATAGTAATTAACTTAACTTTCTATGATGTTGTAATAAGTATAGTAAAGATTATCTGTTTATATTCATTCTGGAAGATGATTATTTCCCGATAGTTAAGGTTACCAACATGCCACTCAATAACATGTATAAATGCTGATTTTATTTCCTTTTGACCATACTACCCATAGGATAGAATATGTAAATAAGTAAGTTACCCTTTAATTCATTACTGTTTCAAGATCTAGCACAAGTCTTCGAGATCATACATTTGATTTAGGACTATTAAAGTGATAAGATTTATTAAAACAATACCAATTATGGATGTTTTTATTCAGCGCTATGAAGTACAGTTATGAGAAATTGCCTATATATCCGAATAGAGTTGCTAAAGTCCTTACAAGTTTATGAAGTGCAAAAATCGAGAAATTTCTTTGCTGAATATTTGCTAAATATTGAATAAATCCTTTTAGCAATCTTAATCGCATTATTTCACGTTTACGTTCTCGGTATCAAATAATTTTTGACTTAAGATAGTGAAATTAAAACCAGAAGTCATGATGGAAAAGTTGTAACTAATAGTTGCACTGCCATATACGTGTATATTCACTTAGATAGCTGTGATACTTTAATTTTTCTTAATTAAAATGGTACAGTATGTTCAAAATCTTAAGTTCCGATCGAAAAGTCGTAAGTAGTATTTGAACCGCTATATTTCTTCCAAGCGGTTTTACTACCTAAAATTTTCTCAGTTAAAATGTTACTGAACTCCAAAGATACCAAATGCTATATTTAAAACCTTAAGTCATATATATAAAATTGTCAATAGTATTTGCAGCGCTATATTTAGTCCAAGCAGGTCATAATACTTTAATTTTTAATTGAAATCTTATGAAGCCTTGAAGATATTAAAAGGTTGTATTTAAAAGTTGTAATGAATATCTGCACCGCTATATTTCCTCTAAGTAGCCAGAATATTTTAATTTTCTTGAATTAAATATTATTGTTAAACCCTAAAGATACCAAAATGAAATATTTAAAATTTGAAGTCATAGATAGAAAACTAATGTAACTGATAACGAATATTAATTATTAATATTATTATTGTAACTAATATTTGCATTGCAACATTTCAGCTAAGCAATTATACTACTTTAATTTTTTAATTGAAATATTAATAAACATTAAAGATACCAAAAATGATATATTTAAAATCTTAAGTCAAAGGTAGAAAAGTTGTAAATAGTACTTAAACCGCTATATTTACTTCAAGCTATTATAAAAAATTAATACTTCTTAAAAAAATGTTGTTAAACATTAAAGATACCAAAAATGATATATTTAAGACCTTAAATCATAGATAGAAATTTGTAATGAATATTCGCACCGCTATATTTACTCCAAGCAGTTATACTAGTTCAATTTTTCTTTAATAAAATGTTATTAAACCTGAATGGCATACATTCTTGAGTGAGAAAGTCAAATATCTGTATCTTACAGTAAAAGCTGCATTTTACTTTTATCGAGGTAAAGTTATAACAAAGTTGGTAAAGATCTATGGGGATAAATTAACTAGTTTTTGACTAATATCCCATAACATCTTTGCTTCAGTTTCGTTAGTAGCGGCTTCTGATGTTTCATAAATTTCACATTCTTCAAAGAATTGACCAGATACAGATTGAAGACTTTTATCGACAGCAAGGCAAATCACTGTTTGTGCTCCTTGACGGGCATCTCTTAAAACTGCCGATAGCATCCAACGCAAAGCTTTATTTATAAAAGACGGAAGTTGCAGGTAATCTTCAAAGTATCGAAAAACCTCTGTCATAACTACTCCAGGATGTAAAGAATTTATTGTTACAGAAGTACCTTTTAATCTTCTACTCATTTCGAATGAAAATAAGACGTTGGCGAGTTTACTATACGCATAGGTTGTTAGGACAGAATAGGACTTTTCACTCATAAGGTCGTCAAAATTCATGCCGGGTACCATGGTATGAGAGCCCGATGATACAACGACGATTCTGCTTGGTTGTGATTTCTTGAGTAAATCTAATAGCAAATCTGTTAATAAGAAATGTCCGAGGTGATTAACACCTATCATCCTTTCGAAACCATCTTTAGTTGTATCTCTGTAAACAGGTCCAACTGAAAAAAGAAATGCAGAGTTGGTAAACTTAAAAGATCATTTTAATTCGGCTACTGTAGAGGCGCTATCTTAATGTATTAATCTAAGTTAGAATACAGATTGTAATGTCTACTTCAGCCATGTTACAAAAGTAAGTTATCTTTATAACTACGCTCTATATCCATATCAAGTATAACGACTGCAATGTATACTAGCATGATTGGCAATTCATTTATAAACTAGTATCCATTCTATTGTCCACTATCCATATTAGAATTACTATTTTAATTGTTCTAGCTTAACCACACGGCGTAATAATTTTAGCTTAATATACAAATATGTGCGTTGTTTTATTCTAAACATTTGCATTCTAATAGCTGTGATGGCTCTATGCTACAATTTCAAGCATTCTTTTAAGCAGGTAGCGTAGGTTTCTATCGATTGTAATAGCTGTAGTCCAAATAGTTTTGATATAGTTACCTAATCCAGCATTATTGATTAAGACATCTAATCTTTCCTCTTTTGCATAGATATCCTTGGCGAATTGTCGCACAGACTTTAAGGAACCTAAGTCTAACATCATTAAAACTACGTTATTACTACCGCTAGTCTTTTTTATATCTTCTATAGCTGCTTCGCCACGCGATTTAGATCGACAAGCACAAATCACTCGAGCACCACGTCTTGCTAAATCGATCGCCGCTTCTTTTCCAATTCCAGTATTAGCTCCAGTAATAATGACAGTTTTTCCATCTAACCTTTCACTTCCTTCATATTCCAATCGTCCATAAATAAAGGTAAAATATCCGTAGATTATCATTGCTAGCACAATCATGAAAATACTAGACTTGATCATTATGGGATTGAGTTATTTGAGTTATGAATTCTTAGCGAACCAATGGAAGAATAATGATATTTTTAATTTCTATTTCAATGACTAAAGAAAAGTAATTTTATGTTGGATCATGCACTAATCGTAAAACTACTGATGAGGACTTCAAAATTTCGCGAATATCTTTCGATAGAGGCAGATGCCATCCAGAAATACAGTTCATTAGACAGATCCGATTACAAGATCATATCTAATCGGTCGGGAAAGACCCTAAAGGGAATTGTTATAGCTTTGATCAGGGAGATTTCTCAACTTCACCATGAGCAAAATGTGTGATATAAATTTTCGTTTCAAGTCTATACTATAGCGAGATAATTATATATGTTTCGATCTAAATTAACTTATAGTTGTGTATAACATATACAGTACGCAAATATTTTACCACATTATCAATAATAAATAAATATACTATGTAATGTAATGTAGTGGCTAAAGTTGAGAATAACGGAAAGACGGCCACCTGTTTTGGTCAGAGCATGGACTACTAGATAGACTGACTTAATACTGTATGTTCCTGGGACATTCGCTTATGGTAAAAGTAGAATTTACCTTTATGCTTAAAAGGAAGATTTATATCTTCTTGTTTTCATTTGTAAACTTATTTCTCCCATTAAATTGGCCATCTTAGTACACATGATTCATTGTTTTAACCGTTCAATTTTGACCCATATAATGAGTATCAATGCTCTAACCGCTATGGAGTCGATTTCCATGTTAACGCATAAAAGACAAAACATGGCCCATACGTATTATGGATTACTACAGATCTAAGCCACTGAATACAACATATTGTAGTTATAGCACATTTTATATTAAAGAGAAAACATGACCCATATTATAGATTATTGCAGATCGAAGCTACCAATACTAATATTATATTGCCATGATTTTAGTATAATCAAAGCTTGGTGATATTTTAACTTAATGGCAGCAATTATCAACAGCACGTAGACATTGCTCTCACAACACAACGTTTGACAAGAGCTGTTGAGTTACAGACCTCCAAGGTATAGAATTTCTTTCTATCAACAGATAAAATTGAATGGTTGTCTAAATGTTGCATGATGTTATGTACAACAGAAAAACAGCGATAGCTTATGCATCTGACGATGAGCCGTATCTGCACTATACTATAGTGATCAAAGCGTCATCTGCAGCAATCGCTAACTTATACTGTAAGCATTTATGAAGGGTCTTTACCTTTCCAGAATCAATCATGATAATCGTTACAGAAAAATAGAGGTGACTTAATTATCATTCTGGAATAATAGGTTATCGTAGATTTATTGATGTATATTTAATGTGATCCATTGACTTGGATATAAGCGTACTTGCATATAACTTCATTTTTTGGCAGCTACTTAATGAAATAGCTGGATTAATCATCAATCCAATTCGAATACAATATTGCATGGTAATTGCTATACAATCATTTTACGACACATGCTTTAAAATCTAGAATTTTATAAATCTTTGTCTAGTTTACCTAAAATTCTATCATTTTACATTTTGCAGTAAGGTACTGTGTATAGCTATGCGAATAGGCGTTAATAATAAACTTCCAGCAAGAATGGTTTCTAATGATTTAAGCAGATGGATTAACTAATTTTTCACTAATATCCCACAACATCTTTGCTTCAGTTTCGTTCGTAGCTGCTGCTGTTGTTTCAGAAATTTTACATTCAGCAAAATATTTGCCAGATACTGATTCAAGATTCCTATCGACAGCAAGACAAATCACTGTTTGTGCTCCTTGACGGGAATCTCTGAAAAAAATTGACATTGTCCAGCGCATAGCTTTATTTAAGAAAGGTGGTAATTGAAGGTAATCATCAAGGTGTCGACCAAGCTCTGTCATCACGGCTCCCGGATGTAAAGCATTTATTGTTACAGAAGTACCTTTTAACCTTTTACTCATTTCTAATGAAAATAGGATGTTGGCAAGTTTAGAGTACCCATATACGCTAGTACCAGAATAGGATTTTTCACTCATAAGATCATCAAGGTTCATACTAGATACCATCCTATGAGCGTTGGATGAAACAACGACGATTCTGCTTGGTTGTGACTTCTTGAGTAAATCTAATAATAGATCTGTTAACAAGAAATGTCCGAGATGATTAACACCCATCATTCTTTCGAAACCATCTTCAGTGGTATCTCTGTAGGCAGGACCAGCTATGAGAGAAATACAGAATTGGTCAATTTATAGGATTATTTGGACGTAGTAACTCCAGAATAGCTAACTTACTTGGAACATGCAATACAATAGCAATAATACAACAATAATTTATCTTTAGCTCCATCGTAGGTCTATACTGTACTGTACAATGTACACAATTCCGTATAGTATACTCATCTGTGTGGTATTCGCAAATTCTACTTACTAATTGCTATCACTTAACGAATTAGCATAATGATGCTAGCTTAATATGTATGAGTTACGCCATTTTGAACTTTTGTATTCTAAAGTTGTGCTGGTATATATATATAGTGTGGGCGCATGATTGAAATTGTATCGTCGAAAGCAGTTTCAAGAATAGTGATAAATGCACTAAGTGGATGAGATCTGCATGATTTCTATTGCAAACAAATACAATGAGGGTTGTTACCTAATCCAGCATTGTTGATTAACACGTCCAATCTTTCTTCTTTTGCGTTAATATCCTTAGCGAATTGTCGTATAGAATTTAAGGAACCTAAGTCTAACATTTTTAAAGCTACATTGTTATTGCCACTAATATTTTTGATGTCTTCTACAGCCGCTTCGCCACGCGATTTAGATCGACATGCACAAATGACTCGAGCTCCACGTCTTGCTAAATCGATTGCCGCTTCTTTCCCGATTCCAGTATTAGCTCCAGTAATAATTACAGTTTTTCCATCTAATCTCTCATCCCCTTTATATTCGCATCGTCCGTGTATGACGAAATAATAGATTGCAATTGCTAGAATAATAATGAAAATTCTAAACTTGCTCATGGTGGAATTGGGTTATTGCTGCTATGCAAAATCCTGTACAATACATAAAGAATAAAAAAAAATCAGGTTGATTTCTCATTTCGTGATGGAAGCAAGGAGGAAAACAATTTAAAACTTGCGTAGTCTATCGTTTTATCGTGGACACTTTACTGGTATCTTTACAGTACAGCACAGTTAAATCAAGCTATCAGGTATATTCTTAAAACTTGAATCAGGTGGCGTTATTTTCAACTTCAGCACGTGTAAAATAGCAAAAAATACAGTAGCATCTTGTCCAAAGTTTTGCATTGCTACGAGATAATTTACAGTGCTGTACCTACGTTTTATCTACATTCATTTATATAAATGAAATACGTGCAAATGTTGATTATAGCATGATGTATAGTCAAGACATGACTGCAATTTCTTATTACCTGTATGCTGTAGAAGGGTTAAATTGACGACGATCAGCTTCGGAGGGTAGAAACGCTGATTATGTAAATTGGAGAAAATTACAAGCTCGTAGCTGTCGAAGGTCCATTTAAGGTATAGTACTGACTGTACCGTATTGCCTACCTGTACGTAGGTGGTATTAGCCAATAGCTATAGTAGTCTAACTGACCGGTATCGTTTAAAGTAAATACAGCTACGGTTACTACTGCACTTCGCTACACAAATAGCCCTCGGCCTCTCAGTTATGAGCTAGATTACTGAGTTCCATCAGCAATGGTGGCTACTGTATACGTCTTTTTCCAGTTGCCGTTGTACAGAGGCAGCAGGTTATATACAGTACTTGTACAGCTTATTTACCGCATATTTATTCATTGCATTTACTTCTGGTTAAACTTGTGCAAGATAGAACTAGTACAACTATTTTCTGCTTTTCTTTCTATCCAGCTAAAATGCAGCCATACAGCTGTAACAGTTAAACTGTTGCTTGGTAATTTACTTACCGTTAATAAAATACACTTGTACAAGAAGGAATCCGTAAAACTACTACATTTTCTTCTCTTCTTTCTATCCAGCTAAAATGCTGCGATATTGCTATTCTGCTCTTCTTTCTATACAGCTAAAATGCAGCCATACAGCTGCAACAAACTGTTGCAGGGTAAATTGCTTACCGTTAATAAAAAACACTTGTACAAGATGCAATTAGTAAAACTACTACATTTTCTTCTCTTCTTTCTATCCAGCTGAAATGCAGCGATATAGCTACTCTGCTCTTCTTTCTATACAACTAAAATGCAACGATGCAGCTGCAACAGTTAAACTGTTGCTTGGTAAATTGCTTACCGTTAATAAAATACACTTATTACAAGATGCAATCAATAAAACTACTGCATTTTCTTCTCTTCTTTCTATCTAGCTGAAATGCAGCGATATAGCTACTAACTGATGCTTGATGACATTACTCGATTAAACATTGCGTTCAAATTTAAATAGTTAATCATAATTATAATCAAAATATTGCATGGGTGTTACTATGCAATTATATAGTATAATCTGAACAGGTTACGTATATCATTTAGTTGAATTACCTACATGAAAATGAATTACTAAAATAGCACATTTCCTTTATTTCAAAGATTGATAATAGCTTAGATAACAAATAATTGTAAACCTAAACAGGAAAAATTGAATTTTGAAAACATGAAGAATCGTATTATAATTAACTAATAGTCACAGTAACGAATGCATGTATTTGTTGTATAACATTATCATGAATGTAAGATAAAAAAAGGTGATATTATGATCGTGATCGCCTACAAAAACTCGTATATAATGGTTTCTTCGCCAAATATCTGGATAATAGTGGAGTGTAGTAAAAAAGTTACGATATATTACATTTCATAGAGAAAGCTCTGCAAAAGGTACTGTACTGTAGTATATTGCATGCATGTATTCATAGATAAAATTTTGAGTATTTGAAATAATATGCTATCCATATTTTATGTTATACTAAATAGTCTATCTTATACTCCAAAGTTTTAAACTAATGCTAGTAATCATTTATTCCTAGTTAATGGCATCTCACGGTATGAAGTATAGATCATAAATGTATTGAACCGAACCGAACCTTTCTCAGGTCTAGTATGAACTTCTAGAATCTACAGATTCTAGATGTCTACGCCTACACTATTAATAAATTTCGAACAGAAAATACCGATTGCAATTTAGGTAGATAGATTAACTAATTTTTCACTAATATCCCATAGTAGCTTTGCAGCAGTTTCGTTCCTAGCAGCCGCTGATTCTCTCGAAATCTCGCAGTCAGCAAAATATTTACCGGATACTGATTGGAGACTCTTATCGACAGCAAGACAAATAATTGTTTGTGCTCCTTGACGGGCATCCCTTACGAAGATTGATAACGTCCAACGCAAAGCTTCAAGTAAGAAAGGTGGTAAATGTAGGTAATCTTCAATGTGTCGACCAAGATCAGTCATTACTGCTCCAGGATGTAAAGAATTTATTGTTATAGAAGTATCCTTTAATCTTTTGCTAAGCTCCAACGAAAATAGAATGTTGGCGAGTTTACTGTGCCCATATCCACTAGTACCAGAATAAGATTTTTCACTCATAAGATCTTCCAAATCCATTTCAGATACCAAGGTTCTATGAGCTTCCGAGGTTACAACAACAATTCTGCTTGGTTGTGATTTCTTGAGTAAATCTAATAATAGATTTGTTAATAAGAAATGACCGAGATGATTAACACCCATCATTCTTTCGAAACCATCTTCAGTGGTATCTCTGTAAAAAGGTCCAGCTGCAAAAATTAGGAAGTAAAAAAGTTTATATGTTATACGAGTATACGTTAATTATGCGTGCCCTATTCCGAACCTTAGCCAGTATAGTCTATACTATAAAATTCTTAACCACAATAAAGTCAATAGGAATAGCTTTTTCTATTGTGTTAAAACTACTTCTACGGTACAACTATTAAAGCATTAACAATATTTTAAAAGCATGTTTCTCTCTAGATACGCGTACTATAGTTTGGGCAAATGACTAAGTTACTGTTAGAGAAGATAGCGATTGCAATATGAGATATAATGTTTACCGACGGTTATGTGTAATGATTATTACCTAAACCAGCGTTATTAATTAACACGTCTAATCTTTCTTCTTTTGCGTTAATATCCTTAGCGAATTGTCGTATAGAATTTAAGGAACCTAAGTCTAACATTTTTAAAACTACATTGTTATTGCCACTAATATTTTTGATGTCTTCTACAGCCGCTTCGCCACGCGATTTAGATCGACATGCACAAATGACTCGAGCTCCACGTCTTGCTAAATCGATTGCCGCTTCTTTCCCGATTCCAGTATTAGCTCCAGTAATAATTACAGTTTTTCCATCTAATCTCTCATCCCCTTTATATTCGCATCGTCCATGTATAAGGAAATAATAGATTGCAATTGCTAGAATAACAATAAAAATTCTAAGCTTGCTCATGGTGAGACCGAGTTCTTAAAGTTCTTAATTCGGAGTAATTCTACCAATAAAAATGCAATACAAAATCGATTACATTTTACAAATAGATTTCAGTGATAGTCAGATAAGATAACTATGGAGTGGATGAATCTATTCGTTTATGCAGCAATTCATTGAATCATAAATACATTAAATCACGTTAATACAGTAGAAGACATGTCTATAAAATGTCTTGTATGCAAGCATCCTTTTAAAATTGAAGCTCAATAGACCGATCGAGTAAGAGTGTCCTTACATAAAAACTGAATGGATGATGAATATTTTGAATTATGCTGATATATGAGTATCTACACCAATGTACAGTATGGTATGTATCAATTTAGTAATATATCTTATATCCAAAAATCAATCGAATAAAAGGTAATCACTGTACAGTACACTGTATTTTCAGTTTAGCAACATGTGAACATTTAAAAATAATCCATTCTCATGGATAGTTGGATGTTGCTATGCCCTATACTGACTGAATACTTCCAACTGTATACTTCCCCTATTGAACATTATTTCAACTACAAGCATTTGTAAATCAAATCGCTCGCACGCCTAGCACTTATAAAGTAATGTTATTTGGTTTTCAGTAAAGCGACTCTGCTTTATCGATGAGACGCAGACGACAAGGACTGCCCTTAACCATGGATTACTAGAAGAAGACCTGGACTTGTCCAGGGACTACTTCCTACTCTTCTAAAGAGAGCGAGAGAGAGAGAAACGCTGAACGATCGAAATGTGAGACACAACCTAACTTAAACAACATTTACGGTCGTATATAACTGTTTTCAAGTAGAGTTTAGCAATAGACAATAAGATTCAACGTAATACTACTTAATTTAGAAAATCAGTCAGTTCAGAATCGACCGTCTGCACACTAAGGTACTATCATAAGGAAGTATTTAGCACAATCGGTTGACGAGGTGGGGCCTTGTAGTAGATCATATCAAGGTAAAACATACGATGATGCGGAGATAAACACTGAATATTTTATTTTAAATGGCAAGCTTTTCCTCATTGAACATCATTTTAACTGAAAGCATCCATATATCATATCCCCTGCATGCTCATTTGCTCATTAATGATCTATAGTACATACTGTACTACCCAATACTCTCTGAGTCGTACTTTAAATTGTAAACTTTTCCTTATTGAACATCATTTAATAACTCGAAAGCATCAGATCACCTGCCTAAATTGGTCGGAAGCAATATTTTAGAGCTGGAGGGCTTTCTTGAGGCTGATTTAATGCAAAGTGGCATTCAATATTGTAGCAGCTTCCAATGGTTTCCTTGTCTCACAACTTAAGAGCTCTATGACGTAAGCTAACAGTGTTGTAGGGCCCAACAGTGCTCCAACCATTTGTTTCTTTATAGTAATAATTAATTAATTAGTAATAGTACCCCATGCATAATTAGAATATGCAAAGTACTTTGTACTCTTCTGGTATCTGCATCCGGACGATTACCTCCCGGACAACTGCCCTCGAACATTGTACAATGTTCATTTCTAGTTAAATCACTTCGATTAGATTTAACAATTTCATAAGCTATCTCGCTCAATGACAATAATTTCCTAGGTAACCCTCCTTTGCGGAAGGCAGATCGATTGCATCATCCATAAATATCGATCATCGAATGCTATGATAGTGTACACGGCCTACAGTAGAGTAAATATCATTTTCCTAGCATGGATAGATCACAAAAAGGAAATTTTTCTCGTGATCCATCTTGCGGTGCAGTAGTGCCTAATTAACAGGATTATCTATAATAATCTACACAGGGCGATTAAACAGTAGATGAGGGATAAGGATTTGACTAAAGCGATCAGAATCATAATTGTCCCTTTAAAACGGAACCCTGCTGCATGCATTCTATTCAAAACTCCCCTTTAGTATAGTAGATGCAATACTGTTGGCCTATCATAGATTTGTCATTAGAGGACTTGCTCCTTGTCGAAACAATCAACATTGCATTTTGCTACCCCTATTCTAAAATTCACTTCGAAACATGTTAAAAACTGCGATTATCGTTAGTGTTATTGGCATTGGATTGTATTATTTCTTCATTCCTTTCGCTACAGGTAGTTGTGAGTATTATGGTAAAGAAAGGTTAGATGGCAAGACCGTCATTGTAACCGGTGCTAATACTGGCATTGGTAAAACGGCGGCGGCCGATTTAGCCCAACGAGGTGCTCGAGTTATTTGTGCTTGTAGGTCCATGGAACGTTGTAATGCTGCTGTAGCTGACATCAAAAGAGAAACCAACAACGTGCAAGTTGTTGCTGCAAAATTAGATTTAGGTTCAATGAAATCAATACGAGAATTTGCACAGATGTTTAAAAATACTGAAAAGCGTTTGGACATTCTGATTAATAACGCTGGCATAGGTGAGCTAACATTACATAGACGATTAAACACTCAGGAGTGTTCGCGTTGACGGTTCCTACTTGTACAGTAGCCCATGACTGAAAGAGTACTAACACCAATAAAAATGGATTAGATCAGTGACACAATCCAGCTTTCTTCTCAGTGAAAAAATGCGTAAATTACTTGTATGATTTCAATTAAAACTGCATTACTGATGAGATGTGTAATGTATATGTTTATGATCTTACTAATGTGCACATACTACTGGTATAGCAGTGAAGCAATTTACAAAACGAAGCAAGAAATCTATCAAACTTTGACTTGCATAGTTTTAGTATAATGGCGATTAGATTGATACTTTTGATGGAGGTGTGAACACAGAAGCCATCGTATTTACAGATAACAGATTAATAATATAATATAATTAAGAGTGTAATCCTCTGATTAATTAATTATCATCTCTTCATGAAGCAATTATATGAATTGCATTTGCGTTATACTAGCCTAGTAAGAGTAGAGTTTGTAGGGCCTGCTGTGAGTATTCCATATTAGCAGGGAGATATGACTTGATTATAATATTATAAATTGAGGTAACGCAAACCTATTTTATTTTGTAGTATGATGTTTAAAATTAGATACGTACATGACTCATGGATACTAAGCTTGCAAAATTATTCTAGCATATCTGTGGACAAATGAACGGATGCTTACTGTGCAGTATGTACATGATTTAACAATATTCTCCTTCTTATCCGCAGGGTGCAGAAACGTCGATAAGAAAACTGAAGATGGATTCGAAGACAGAATGGGTGTTAACCACCTTGGACACTTTTTATTAACAAACCTATTACTAGATATGTTAAAGCAGTCACAGCCTAGTCGAATTGTATGTCTTACATCTCTTATTCACTGGACGACAACAGATCTCGATTTTGACAATTTAGCCAACCATACATCTACTAGTTCATGCGATAATTACAGCCGTAGTAAAATAGCTAATATATTATTTGTACTGGAATTAAGTAAACGATTGAAAGGGACAGGTGTTACCGCCAATGCCGTTCATCCTGGTTTAGTTCAAACAGAAACACTTCGATCAGCTCGTGAAAGTGAGGGTTTCCTTGCTACCAGTTATACAAAATTTATGGAAGTGGTATTTTTGTTAGTCGGCAATGATGCTCGGCGAGGCGCACAAACTACTGTTTACGCCGCAGTAGATCCATCGCTGGAGAATGTTAGTGGTCAATTCCTGGCTAGGTGTAAAATCGATACTCCATCGCCTTATGCAAGAGATGAAGCTGTTGCCAAGAAATTATACGATATGAGTTTAAAACTTGTAAACTTATAGATATTGTACTGTAGTATTGTCACTGGCATGTACACGATAATATCTACGTGTAATAATTTGTAAAACAAAAGTATAAGTAAAAGATGTAGTAGACGTTCTAATACAACCATTGAGTAGCTATCGGTCAAAAAAGAATAAATTCTACTTGTTTTTAGGTAAAGAGATTTTGGGCCTTAGGTTTACTTATCATGAGTTATAAATTGCTAAAGAATTTCATCATGCCTCTATTTTGTGATGTTAATGTTGAAAGAACCCATATAAGTAACTGTATAGTCGTATATCATATTCACTCTATAAATCGGATACAGGTTTGAATTTCTGTAATTGAAGCCATTAGAAGTTATATACTACTTTAGACAAGTTTCATAGGGCGTCTGTATCTAACTTCTTATATCTGATTTACAGTTTTAATTTCTTTAACGTGCCAAACTACGACCCTGTATATTTGTCTGCGTGATAATTTCGCTCCTATAGTTGGTGTACATTGACTATTAGCCGTGCTAGCTACTATCATGCTATCCATTACCATCTCATACGGTATACAAAATAAAGGATTTAGTGACTGATTTAAAAAATTATCTATTATATGGTGCCTGTAGTCATGCATTGCTACTTAGCCTAATTAGTGGTACTTAATCCTGCAAGTTATGAGCTCTCTGAAGAATAGCATAATCCTCATAATGAAATCATAATGAGGATTCTGAATTGATTCAGGATTTGAGGATCCTCATCCTCATAATCCTCGTTCATCTGGGTGATAACTTCGCTCCTATAGTTGGTGTACATTGACTATTAGCCGTGCTGGCTACTATCATGCTATCCATTCCAATCTCCTACAAAATAAGGGATTTACTGACTGATTTAAAAAATTTTCTATTATATGGTGCCTTTAGCCATGCATTGCTACTTAGCCTAATTAGCGGTACTTAATCCTGTAAGTTTTGAGCTCTCTGAAGAATAGCATATTTAATGGGAACATTAGGCATAGCATAATAACTTCAACCTGTTAATTTTATTATTTCTTGTAAAGTATAATTATCCTGCTATGAAAATAGCTTTATAGAGTTCAGATTTCTTGTTACAAAAACAGACAAATACTAGAATATTAATGCAGCATCATTTACGGACACGTCTTGGCAGTCCTAATTCACACTACTGTAGTTTAAATTGCTGAAACAAACTATCTAAATGTTGTAAGCAAAGTTGCAGTTAACAAAGTAAACTAGTAGTTAATCTTAGTTATGATTTTTAATTATAAAGAGGTTACATTCAAAATCAGTAATCGCGTATATTATGGACAACGCTTTTCATCTGATCGGTCTGAACAATCTTCAAAATTGTCACAAAACCTTCTTGCAGAGATGCATCTCCCAGTCCTCCTGCATTCGAATTTAAATAAGCTACACTGACCGCAAAATTTCTCATCCGATCGATCTGGGCAATCAAAGCGTCGGTTGCATACTTTCCGCCTAGGGATACATTTGCGACCATCGAAGCATGCAAATTGCGTTGATCTGCATCGTACCTTACCTAGATATCAAAAATAATTTTAATTTAAACGATACTGTAAAAGTTACACGAATCTTTATTCAAAATATTGAATATCTTGTGGCGTAAAGCCAATTCAAGACGGAATGAAACCAACAGTTCCTTTCGTCTGAGCCATCTCGACAATCTCGGTGATCATCACATACGAAAGATTTTGGAATACACTTGCCACTGCGCTTGCAGCGAAATTCTCTTCTACGGCATCTACCTAAAATATTGAAAATCAAATAGGAATGCTTTGGGTATCTACCAAGAAATAGATACGTGGCGCTGCCAGTGCTTTAAGATACGTCGTTATCACAGTGTAAATAAAGCTTACAGTTTTTCTCGTCTGATCGATCCCGACAATCACGAAAACCGTCGCATCGATATGCTTTTGGTATACATTTACCGCTACGTCTACAACGAAATTCGTTTCTTCGACATTTTTTAGGACCTATTCAGAGTATCAATAATAAAATCAACGTTTGAAGAATGAACAGATTGTACTATGCCTGTTTTAGCTACGCTGATTTTTTGTAATATAGAAAGAGTAACAAGATCTATTGTTCAAAGACGTACAATTTCTTTCATCCGATCCATCCCTGCAATCGCGATGAGAATCGCATTTATAAGATTTTGGAATACATTTGCCACTTCTTTTACATTGAAACTCGCCTCGCCGACATGTACGACCTAACTCCGTCAATGCAAACTAGTAATTAGGGCTATTATATTAACTGCTATTAGCATAATGTTGAGAAGTTTACAATTTCATTCATCTGATCCATCTTTGCAACCCTAAATTTATCGCACTTGAATATATCTGGAATACATTTACCACTACTTTTGCATCGAAATTTTAAAGGTGACATTGTCTTTCACCTTTAAAATTGCAAATAGTAACTATTAATTGTCTTTAGCTTTTACTAGATATATCTGGCCTTTTTATCATAACGAGATTAATGAGAGAGCAAATGAGGTAGAACAAATCTCAAACGTATTACGACAACATTTGCATAATACTATTAAATGCTTTCCTATCGGCGTGGTTTAAGATGTCAATAAGATTCCAGAATATCAACGCTATATCGAAATGCTCCACTTACAGTTACGTTCATCTGATCCATCTCTACAATCTCGCCTATCATTACATCTTCTAGATGCCGGGATGCATTTGCGACTACGTTTACATCGAAATTCATCTTCCGAGCATCCACGTTCACCTAAGTAGGACATTTAAAATAGACAGCTTAGCGCTAATAAATGATGATTAGAAAGTAACAATATTCTCACAGTCTTCTCCATTTGATCCTCTAAGGCAATCAGGATCGGCGATGCTCATTTTTTGAGATTTTTGTATACATGCTTGATCGCTGCAATTCTTTACGTTAGATAATTCTACAACAAATACAATGCATTGAGTGTGTTCCAATGATAAAGATTGGTGGTTTGACTAGCCATTTGCATGTACGTATACAGTATCTTGATATTATTTCTAGGTGAAACAGCTCTGATAGAATTAAAAAAACTATTTGGCCTACCTTTTTCCATGCAAGTAGTTATTGATTCATCGGTCATATCATCGCAATCTTGGGAATTATCACAAACTTTGGACATTTTTATACAAGTAGAATTGTTGTCGCATGCGAATCCTGGACATCCCAAAACTATGAAAACATAGTAGTGCCTGTTACTACTTAGCGTACATCACGATCTTAGTATTTAGAGTGGTTCAAAACAAGCAAGGTAGGCAATACGTTATCAATATCGTTTACCGGCAATAGGTTTGTCCAATCCAAGGCATGCGAGCATCATCATCGCAAGTATGAATAGCTTTAAAGACATGTTTTCTGTTTGATTTGGTTGGTACGATATTTGTTGGTAATTGAAGAATTTTAGATAATCAGCTCAGCTCTTAAGGAAGGAATAATACTGCAATATTTTAAGCAGGAAGAGGTACTAGCATCATTTCTAGCTGGGCTTTTTATAGGTTTGTACTATGCACTAGCGTGATGTTAGAATACCGTAACTATTGTGGTGCAAATAGCTTTAGATGTATTTTCGTATATACGCATTCTCATAGTTATATCATAAATTTAATTCTGTGCATAGAAAATCAAATGTATAGTAATAAGCCTGTAAATGCATTTATCAGAGGTAGAAATTGACCGACTTGGCCTTTGGTGCATACCTTTTGCAAATATTGCTGTCATTGTTAGTAACTTCTTACTAGTGTAAGGTTACTTGTAGACTGCACTGGTCTAAAGTTCAATTGTTAACACAAACAGTTAGTCTACTGTAGATTAGTTCAAACATGTGTGATTATTGATATCTTGTTATTATTAATAAATTAAATCTTATACAGTTAAATTTATTAGCGTATAGTAGCAGCTTCCACGGGTCGAATAGCTGTATTATGATCGACTTAATTTTTTCAACCCTTGAATTCTGTTATTATTCATCATTCTATTCATCAATTAAATGTTTAAATCTTTTCTGCTAGATACATTAGCGTATACTAATAGCTTGCTGTCGCTGAATAACTGTATTGTTAGTTTGTTACTTCACCCTTGGATTATTCAGTTAATTATCCTGCAGTTAATTAAATCTTGCAGTCCTTTTCACTTAGATACATTAGCATTTACTAACAGCTTTCTTCCGTCTAATGGCTGTATTTATGATCGACTTAATTTCTTCACCATTGATGCGATGAGTTCGGGCATTGCAAAGGTAAAAATTTTTTGCCCAGGGCCAGGTACCCGTTTCAGATGAGTTATTAGCCATTGCCCCATCACATACGTATTGATTATAGGATAAGCTTTAGGATCAATTTCTCGAACAATGATGATAATATTTTATGCTTCATTGATGCTTGTCATCCTAATATGAAAGGTATTAAGGGTTTCAGTTACAATATTTTAAAATTTATGAATGTTGTAGGGACAAAAATTGAGGTTTAAATGATATAGCGACTTAGATGATAGTCATACATACGTTTGAGTATATTATACACAGTACATATAGATTACAGGTTGATGCTAGATTAATTATTACAATTCGGTTGCTTTGTAAAATAAAGTTTTGCGATATGATAAGCATATAGATTACGAATCGACTTAGGGCATGGATAACTGCTTGATACAAGTGGACTGGGAACGGAGTTGGACGGTCGGATTTTTGCCTTATATACATGGGTTAAATACATATAAAACATATATATTATATATCGTCAAAATACTGTTCCTATTCGTAAACTCTCCTATTGCCATGACGCAAATATGTCGATGCTCGGATTCTGTTACTAGTTGATCATATTTTCCGAACAAAGTTTGACTAACTTCTGCTTAAAAGTAGCTATGCAGTTCGTCATCAATTTCATTTAAATTCTTAGTAGTAATTGAAGAAATCAGACTCAGAGAAGATCCATACTAATACTGTAAGTCGCATCTTTTCGACATTTTTAGCCTCATTTAATCGAGGAAAGTCCGTCCATCCGAGATAGTTTCTTTTTTCAACCATTTGCTTCCGATTCAACTTCAATTTATAAAGTTTGAAAGTTTAACAACAAGCAGCCTGGTAAAATTATTTCAGTTCCATTTCTGAAGATGTTAGCTACATGGCAATAAGAGATGGTTGCTTATTTCTTATTGTCATGTAACTCTTAATCATTTCTGGATTTGCCAAGATATGGCTGAAGTTAAAAGAAAGAGAGAGTAATCAATTTTGGGTGAAATTTTACTAGTCCATGATAGTGCTCTACGGTAGCAGTGAAACCGCCTACCGTATTAGTACCAAACCAACCCGTTTATTACTACTTACGACTTTTTACTACCACTGTACCGCTTGGGATGACAATGGTAGACAGAGTAAACAGTACGTCAGTCGACCAGTGGTCAGTGTTACGTGTTACACCTAGTTACGGTTTACGGTACTGTACCGTCTTGCAAGCGCTTCAACCAAAGTACTATGATAGTACTGTACCGTCATGCAAACGCTTCAATCAAAGTACTATGATAGTACTGTACTGTACCGTTATGCAAGCGCTTCAACCAAAGTACAGTACTATGACAGTACAGTACTGTACCGTCATGCAAGCGCTTCAACCAAAGTACTATGACAGTACTGTACCGTCATGCAAGCGCTTCAACCAAAGTACTATGAATGTATTGTACCGTCATGCAAGCGCTTCAACCAAAGTACTATGACTGTACTGTACCGTCATGCTAGCGCTTCAACCAAAGTACTATGACTGTACTGTACCGTCATGCAAGCGCTTCAACCAATCACCTTGAGGTAGTGGACAAGAGGGAAAGTTCAAACATTCAAAGATAACAAGCATTGCCAAGTTTGGTCTAGTAGTGTACTGAAACAAGACTCGATCACTCATAGCGTCCTATTGATTTGAACAGGCGAACGCTGTGTTTGCCCTCAAGGGAGGAAAAAAAAGGAAAACCTTTCTCGTCCATCTTCCTTCTCAGTGAAATATTGAGAAGGAAATTTGTTAATGTCGTAAAAATTGACATTGGATGCCACATTTTATCCTGAAGATTGAAGAAAATCCAGGCAAGACAAGTTGGAAAACACTCCTTTCCATTGATATAGATTAATACGTTGACGTAAATTGGCTCAATGATTCTTTAACTTGGGGAAAATTCAAGTTGTCTCTTTTTTTTATCCATTTGTGGCTACCTTCAAAGCAAAATCACTGGGTAAGTATGCCGTAAGCAGGACAGAGTTTATCATGATGTTCAAATAGTAATCACCAATATGAAATGATAAATAATGTTAGTAGAGACAAAATAGATCCTATTTCTACGATAGAATGTTAGGCTAACGCTATCCTAACTGGCATAGTACGTTTGAACAACAAAATTCCAATTACTTTTATCATGGTTGTTTATAACTCAACTAACACCTTACGAGTTGGATCACTGTACGTTAAGATGACTCTAGGATAGTAATGTTATTAAGTCCTAGAAGTAAACTCCACTCCAATTCATCATGACGACAACATCAGGATAATCGGCTATAAAATAACTAGATCAACATCAATAGACCATCAGTCCTTTACTTAGATGTTCAATAGGAACATCGATCCATACTTGACTCCGCGAATGATATAGACTAACTGATGATGAGACATGATCAACTAAGAACAAGGAAACTTGATATCAGTTCTTCGTCTGTTTAGTCTTTCAATAAATCAATGGAGTACATTCAAGCTAGATGGCATGAACAGTATCTGTAGACCATTGCAATATTGTTGCTATGAAAAAGTTCAAAAAAGTGGTATACAGCTAAATACAATGAAAATCATTGATGAAATGGATCATCCCCACGCAATAATTACACTACTGAAACGGCAGCAATATTTAACAGAAATACTGTACTGTAGTTCATTTTTAGACTTAGTTAGAGCGGTAAAATGATTAAAATAATAAAAAGTAAGAAAAAATCTGAACTATGCATTGTCTTCAAGTCTGGCACACTAATAAACGAAGCGGTTGCTCATTCTTTCAGGCTGGTAGTGCTGTTCGTTTAGATGTTGATCTGTACATGCGATACTAATTTTCTGTGGTAACACTTCAACGTTGAAAAAGACAGGTGTTAATGACAAACCGCTATAGCTTAGTATGAACGTAATACAGTAAACGGAATAACGTTGACATACAATCTTGCCATTGAGTTTCAACAGTGAACGTAGTAGCCATCTGTGTGTATACTAACGGTTCTTGGTGGTAGGATCAGAGTCATAGTTGTTAAACAAGTTGGAAATTGGAAATGATTTATAACAATTGCACGTGTTTTAGACCATGAAAATGGATAGGTGCAGATGTAGTCATTCTTAGCGCTTCATAGATGACAATGAAAGTGTTTAGAACTCATATTCTTAATCTGACTAAAGACTACTAGAATAAAATGTCCTATTCCTTTAGTAATCAGTAATCTGATGCACGTATAGAATATTGCTAAATCATAATTTGAAACGGTAATCACATAATTATCATATAAGATATTGATTTAGCAATGTACAATGTTCTAATGATCATAACAAAATCTTTTCTCAGCTCCGGTTTGAATGGCAGAATAGCCGGAAGAGGTGTTGTTTAGTAGGTAACCCAATGATTACCCGAAGCAAGAAGGCCGAGACCAGTCCTAGCTCAAATGGAACAATTACCTCACCTTTTGCTAGTAAATGATAGAATTTACGAAGGAAATTATTCAGGGCTTAGTTATGCCTGTGTTGATTAGTTTTTACTGATACTGTATCTAGTGAATCACCAGCAGGTGTCTAAATGTTGATAAATTGTAAATATGTTATTTTTATTTTTAAATTTAGGCCCTCTGCAGAATACACAGTCCTCTAGTAAAGATCAAGAAACTGAAATAACATGGGATAGCAGTAGTCCAAGCCCCATTCGATGCGTTCTATCCAAAGGTTAGAAGATATAGTTATAATTACCATGAAATTTTTATTACTTGAGTTTAATGAGCTATCGATAGAGGTTATAGAGTTGTAATTGAAAATGATAGCAACTATTGATGTTAGCAGTACAGCGAAAAGATTGTAACAAAATAGATCGTTCGATTACTTTGGTGATTATACTGTATTGTTGAACAGTTATGCTTATTCCTTAAATTATCTTATAGGTAAAAAGCTTAAAAGGTTAACGCTAGGTAGCCATAATCGTCGTAGTAGCTCTGTTTCGGACTTGGTTCGGGTATTATCAAAAACAAGCTCCAACGTAAGATGTTAAGAGATAACTTATAGGCAATGCTAAATATTAATTTATTTAAATTATTATTATACGTATAGAAAAATTAGTGTTATTTGATGAGTAGCCTTTTGATCGCTACGTAAGTGTCAACCATTTTTAAGTTGGTTTACACGAATATGCATGTAGTTTTACTAAATAGCTAAAATGTACCCTTAGCAGGGTACTGCATGATACCATAAGTACTCTTGCCCCTAGTCGTGTTAAAATAATTCAAATTGAACTGGTGTTGCTGTACTTACTGTTACGAATCAATTGTAACAAAATTATGACATTTCATTACAACGTTACACAGAAAAATAGCCAGTTACAACAAAGGCCTAAGACTCCACTATTAGGCATCTGGATGAATAAAGAAAATCAGAGGGATGAAAATATCGATGTTCAATTAGTGAAAACTTCTAAAACCAGGTAAAAGCATATTATCTGGCTATAACTGTTTTAGAGTTAGCAGTTCTAGATTTTGTAAACGCTATCGCCAATATGTTTTGATTTACAATTTTAGTAATGCAGTCAAATGCCAAATAAAAACTTTCATTGACTTACTGTATGTGTGTAAATAAATTGTTGCTTTGATTGTAAATAACTTAAACGGTTGCGTTGGCCTAATTCTTTATATAGAAAATTATTCAGAAAATCGAGAGAAAATAAAAATGATAAGTTTTTAGAAAAACTGCGAGAGGTCGTAAAGGATTTAGATAATTCTGACGATACAGCCAATATCAATGTAAACGAAAGGATACAATTGCAGAAACTTTGGTAAGTATTATTTTAGTATTTAAGTTTACCTTTATCGGAATGATGTCACGAAACCCATACAGAATATTTGATGTCATGATTTCTAACGTGAAATGTACGAATGTTAAATGTCGCAGTCAAGCACCAACGTGTCGAAACGAAACTGAAGTTACGCCAATTAGGAAATATAATGAAATAGAAGGTACTGAATCATGCTCAGGTAATGGTCTTGATGTTAAAAAGGGAAACGCAAATGGTAGCGATTCGATGTTCCAACCACACTTGCCCATAGTCGGGGAAAGCCCAAGTTGCAACAAAAGAGTTAGAAGTGATGATAGTGTATGTAGATCTAATAATGAAAATGTCAATTTACGGAGAAATCCTGTTGCAAATCATGTTCAATCACATACAGAAGGTACTAAAGTTGAATTGGTACACTTGTTACATTCTGGTAACGATGATAAGGAACATTTAAATTCTGTAACGCGTGTAGCTTGTCCTACAAAGTGCGTAAACACCGATGTAAATACTTCAAAATCCGTCTTAGAAAAGCCTTATAGCGTCCCAATTGAGGCAAGCAAGTCAGATCATACGCTGACAGATTTTGAGCTGTTTAGCGAGACTGATATACTAGATGATACAGTTCCAGAGGCCTTTACAAGGAATGAAGCAAGCGGTAATACCAATATGATAAAAGACCATGATACAAGCATCGCCGATGATATTTTATTGGCCGTAGCGGATGATGCTATTTGGGATGAAAGTGTTAGTGATGAAATGTTGATAAGGTGCACCCAAGAGTGTCCAGGAATCCCTAGTGATGCCTGCTCTATTGAAAATGGAGACAATTTAACTCCTTCGAGCGAAAATAGTGTTGCAACGTGTTCTTTTAAATTAGCTAATAGCAAAGCTGGTAGTGTTCAAGATATGCAATCTGGTACGACAATTACTTTATTTAATGATCAAGATGGGACTCATGATCTAGGTTTAACGATTGAAGATGAAGAATTACTGATGGCACTTGCAACATAATGAAGTATGATCACGCAAATTCTAGCTACGTTTCAATAAAAAAATTGTCATTTATGACTATTTTACTAATTGATCTTTCGAATTTATGGTTCTGGAAGGTATTCTATTTAAATTTATAAAGGAAAATATCGTTAATGCTAAAAGCAAATGGATCAAGCTTATTTTAACGTTAAAAGTTGCTGTATTCGTGAATTTTAACTTTTTGAGCTAAAAATGTAAACGTGGTTGCTCGATTACTGCTATATATAAAGGGTAATTATTATTATAGTGATCACTTTCCAATACGGCATCATGAACAATGTAATATCAATTGATTAGGCATTTACGTAGTTCCTGATAGCTATTGAAGAGGTGTAGCTGTTTGTTTTTTGATCAGAATTGTGTTATAAAATACAGCATCAATTAAATTAATGAGATAATCATTTAATTACTGATATTGCATCATGGCAATAGGTACATGTGCTGATATGGAAATAGGTAATGTAACATAGATCACGCGGTGTAATTTGAAATACATCGTGCTGTAAAAAAGTGTTTCAAAACAAAGACGAATCTATTTGGTCGAGTATCGATTTGGATAGTTACTATTGGCTAAATCTACTGCATTTTAGCATTGTATATCTTGTGTACATCTAATAGACTCATTTTCAATTACTTACTTTTATATCGTTGTATATAAATTTTTACCTGAAATGTATAAATTTGAAAATTAAATACAAAGCAAAAAAATGAGTGTTTATTACCTTATTTTGTGATTGCCTTATGATAAAGACGCTTACTCGATATAGCTGGGGCCGAGTATTACTTGTAAGAGTATAATGAAAATAGTTAATTGTTTTTAAAGTGGGGTTACAGTAGCTTTGTATCATTTCCTAAATAAGTAACATTAAGACTTATTCGTGCGTCCGCCGATATAAAACTTTATACCACTTATCTCTCAATGACTACAAATTTATTTACGAGAGTCATGAATCATATAATAATAAGAATAGCAAATTGTCTGCGATTAATTTAGCACACAATGTTACAAGCTAAAGTACTAGTATATTCATTTATGTACATCATCTACACGATACCCTCCTCGATTAAATAGCGGAATGTACTTGATTTATCATTGGTATGATTATGGAATCCATTTAAATTAGCATAAAATGCCATGATTTCTGCCATAACATAAACGTCTCATAAACTTATCTTCATATATTAAACAACTTACGCTAGTTGCGTATATGTATGTTGTACATGGTACACATAAGTTAGTTCACAATTAATAAGTTGGCAAAGAAGCATAAAGGTTTAGCAATGTCTTGACATCAAAATCGTTAGCAATGAATCAGAATAGAATAGGTATAGGTACACTATATAGCAAACCATCTATGTTAATGATCACATACATACTTGAAATAAAGATTGGTAATGCAAATAAGATCTAATTGGTACAGCTGTCGTATAAAATACACAGTGATGGTTAAATTTTGATATGGATAGGTGCTTTGACGTAACATTTCCTAATGGAGGATCTTTGATTTTGCGTTTATTGATCGTAGTCGGCCCAGTCGCCCACTTCAGGTGCATTATTGCTGTCAAATATCGGCGGAAACTCACCTGAATCATCGGATTTGTTAAGTGTATCATCATCTTGCTTACGTTTATCCGTGGGAGATGCAGCATCTTGATCATTTTTATCGTCCGGGTTTATATCTTGCTTGTTGTCTGTTTGATCGCGAGGTCTGTTTTGGTTTCGACCACGACGACCTCGACCTCGACCTCGACCTCGACCACCACCACGTTGAGAGCGTGGAGCACCACGATAATTTGGACGTCCACCTCCTCTTTCTTTATTTTTGCTGTCAGGAAAAAAGAAACGCCCATCAGCAGTTTCTTCTACAGCTAAATCAGCAGGAGTTTTCTCAACTTGCGTAGACTGATCATAGTTATCTGCTGTTTTTTGATCTGCGTACCTTTCATCATCGTGATATCTCCATTCTTTATTTCTTGAGTATGAATTATTGTAGTTGTTATTATCTCTTGGTTGCCAATTTCGATCTCGACGATCATTACGGGAATAATCCCTATCATCATTCCAATTTTGATGATAACCTCTGTTATATGGTCGATTTGAATATCTGTTTTGCCGACTTTGCCGTCGATCTGTTTCGTTACTATCTACTTGTGTGGTATCGTAGTCGTTTCCGTCATTTCTATCGCTTTCTTTATATCGATTTGGCTGTCTATATCTGTCGTTACGTCCTTTACCGCCACCATCTCTTCCTCGACGATATGCATAGTTGTAATTGTCATCTTGCTGCTCATCATAATCTTGATACTCTCTTTCTTGCCGATTTTGCCTTTCATCTGTTTCGTTGCGATCTGTTTGTGTTGTAGCATAGTCGTTTCCGTCATTTCTGTCGCTTTCTTTATATCGATTTGGTTGTCTATATCTGTCGTTACGTCTACCACCACCTCTATCTTTTCCTCGACGATGCGCATGGTTGTAATTATTATCTCGATGAGCATTATTGTTATAATTTTGATAGTCCCTTTCTTCGTCAGCCAATCGATCTGAATATCTATAATTCGATCTATCTGAGTTAGAGATTTCTTGCCGTCCTTCCCGTTTTGGCTGAAATTCAACATTACGATGAAAGAATTTTAGATTTAAAACTAAAAGTCTTGATAACTTTTCAACAACTCAAAATATCCTACAAAAAGCTAAAGTATTCCGACTTTGGAAGAAACAATAATGAAATACAGGATTTAATAAAATTAGACTAGACATACCTGTTCTCTTTGATAGTCGTTTGGGCTATTTTCTTCTTCAGGCTCATACAATTTCACGATACGTTTACCTCCTTGCTCATCCTAATTTATTAGAATAAACGCGCAATAAACGAATAATTGCGTAAAATTATTCAGTTAAGTCATATATGATAACCACATCATACATCTATTCGACTAAATTTAACCGGTATAGTAGTGATGTGCATTATTAATATAGTTACAAAATTAATAAAAATATTATGTCACTACATCTACTGTATTAAGTTTTTGTTATCTATCATGGAGTACTAACTCTGACTAAACGAATTTCCATAACTCTTCGTGTTTCTGAAGCATCTGATTGAAAATTTTCATTTCTTCCTTCAGTACTAGTTTTCCTCTAGGTTGTAATAAAAATTCGCGTATTAGATAGCTCTACTACAGTATTTTGATAGTTATGTAATAGCAATATTCGGTAATATCTTTTTTATTTTTAGTCGAAACTTTTCAGCAGATAATTAATCTGCATTGATATGCATACCTGTCGTGGATGAGAGTTGCGAAATTTTACTTGACGCGCAGGGGGATCTTCGCCCTATTATGATGAAATTTAGATGAAACATAGGTAAAAAATAATTTCGTATTCAGCTTAAATTTAATTAAATTAAAATCGATATCTTATATCATATGGATAAATTATAGGCTGAATCAGACTTGAAATATTACATTAGCTTAAATGATACATCATTAATTGTATAAATTACCCTATCATATCGTCCTTCTGATTGCCTGCCGCCTCCAGAGTATGAGTATCGTTCATTGAATTGGTCCCTTCTATGCCGTGTCTGTCAGATAAATAAATACCATATAAAATTACTAATGATAGCAAAAAGGTAATGCTCTATCTTTCGAATATGCATTATATGCGTACGCAGTAAAGTTTGACGGGTTATATTATGCTGTAATTTCTGCTATAATTAGCAATTAATACTAACTATAAGTTTTATTTTTAATACCGATTATAATTTGATCACGAGAATTTTATATCTGCAGTTTTAATCATAATGCATGTGAAGGGTATAGAACACTAACATATTGAGCACTCAGTTTATGTAACAACTACCTCATGTTGATCGGTTCTCTCTTTCGTTGATGACCCTCTTGTATTTTCCTAGTTCATAGAGTACGTATGTTGAAAGAGGAAAAATATCAAAATTTAAGATTTGCGTTTATTTACGATACTTTAGGTGTATAATATAGATGTTATCGATAGTAGCAATGGCTTTTCTGATTTACACTCTTGAAAAATTAATTCAACTGATATGTTTGAAATTAGATGGGAAAATTTAAAAGATATCTAATCTATCCTGTCTGTCGTTATAGTAACATCTTATTCAATGTTGCGATAACTGTACCTGCTTGAATTGCTTTTGATTTCGATCGCTACTTGGTGAGATATAGTTTGATATAGATGTTAAGTGACTTTGCTATTAAAAAGGTCATTGACAGAGATGAATGAAAACAATATAAATACTTGATCTTGCAGCATAAATTATGATGAAATTTTTTTGTTAATATCACAGATTGGAATTACATTATTAAAGAAGATTGTTAATCTAGCGTATCTTACCGAAAGTAACTTTTGCTGCCTATTTTCATTGGATTTTTCATCGCGATTCCTTCCTGCAGTTGTCAGAAAAAGGAATAAATTTTAGTCAGGATCAATCTATACGTTTTAGCAAGTAATACAATAGAGAACTAGAATTGCCATGAAAGCTTAACATCATTTTAATTAATTTTTAAGATATTAGTCCCAAATAAAATTTTTTATTTTTAACTACTATGGTTAATTATTATTGGTCTTACATACGGTAAAATAAATTGATTTGTATGACTGAATTGAAAGTAATGCAGGACAAGAATTGCTTTAATATTATTCAATTTGTCATCAGTAACTAAATTACAGCGCTGTGAATTTAAATTTATTAAGCACTTTATAAAATTTGGTGTAAACTATCGTGTAATGGATGGTAAAGAATGCACCCATCACAAAAATACTAAATACGAACATGATCTTAGTAGATCGTCGTAGATACCGCAGTAACTGATAAACGAGCTCATAGTACTGTATGTCCTACGCGATATTTTCGAATAATATTGTTACGATCTGTAGGTAAATTATTGCTGTATTAATGTAAGTACTGTAAGATAAATAACCAATTATTAATAACTTATATTGAAACATCAACGATCTTCATATTAAGAAATCCTAGCAGGAAAGCCATATCAAGTGGACTACTCGATATAACTTTCGTGGCGAATGTTGACTAAAGTACACTATGATCAAATATTTTGGTAGATATTGAAATGTTCTACTTGTTTGTATTAACAAGAGTATTCTTCTATTAACTGTAATTAAGCTATTAAGCTAATATTTGATGCAGCTGTTTTTCTATCATTGGATAAATGAGGTTATTACTAAATTATAGAATGATTTCGATATTAGTCTTTCTCGTTATGGGTATATTAGACGCTTGTATATTGACGAAAATTGATCGAACATTGCTAATGCGCTCCCTTCTAGACAAGGCGATAAATTCATTTCACGGAGGTGACAATATTGTAAGTTTGTTAATATAATCATCAATTGAAATATTAGGGCTTTTGGGCGTCGGTCGCACAGGCAGCTATTCTATACCTTGGAAGAATGGGATTTACATATACAGATATTGAACGGCAATCAGCCTCAATATCCAATTATCCAGTCAAATTGATCAGAAGCGAGCTAATAGCTCTACTAGGTCTAATAGATAGTTGATTGGTGAATTTTATGTTGAAGTCTATTTTCTTATAAAGTGATTAATTCTTTAGGATAGCGCTGTATCTTAAGTTATCATTCGAGCTAAATGCACTGCAAGGGCTATTGAATAACGCGAGAAGATGCTTACCTACCTATTACATTTATATTATCTCGATCAGATTGATGTAAAATATCCAATCATTGCTATTGAATTATAAGGTCGATCATTTCATTTCTAATTTCAATTCATCAGTAATATGGATGTTGATGATTCTTTATTAACGTTGAACAATGTTTATTGGATCGAGCAATGATGACAGAAGTAGGAAATGGATAAGGAGAAAATCGAGCATCGTTGACTACCCGTGCTACTTTTACTATTCTACTCTGTATCCATCCATATCAGCTTGCTTGTAGCATAGTCCAGTGATACACCGTATTCTCTTCGCTGATTTGATACACAAAAAACAGATATCACGGATGTAAAACTGTTGTACAGTATATCCTATTAGGATTTACTTTCCGGATACGCTGTGCTATGTCAACTATGCGTCTACTCCGTAAACTGTCTACTTTTACGTCAAGCGATTATCATTTATGAGAGACGTACGTTGCCATTCTGCCTTTGCATAGCGACAATAATATCACGACTACCCTCAAAGTAGAAAGAAACTATTCTAAAAGTATATAACAGCAGCAGTATTTCCCTATTACCATCGTCCTTATCCTATAAAATAAAATATTTCTTTTGGTATAATTCATTAATTAATTAATTCATCAGCACGTATGTGTTGCATTTCTATGTCGACGGACGCTTGTAAGGGTGGCGTATACGCGTCTATGTCGCATCTCTGTCATTCCTTGTCGATGGTAGGACTACTGAGTAAAAAAGGAGGATAAAAAGTCTGTCCTAAGGGAAGATAGGCTAGCAAGGATAGATGCAAATAGTAATCATCGACGAGGTTAGCGGCTACTTTACAGCATCGTTTATCGTTTATCTACATAACGGTAGCAAGAGCCCATTCAAGCGGGTAGAATCGAGTACCCACTACACCGTAGACTGAGGGTAGCATTGGGGTGGGTGAGATGGTTAAATTGTCCCCCTGGGCTAGGTCTACGCCAGTACTGTAGTCTATAAAGTACCGACCAGGGTGGCAATGTGGGTTGGTCATGGCAGATCGTGATTTGCTTTCCATCCAATCTATTTTAGCTTTAGTTACCTACCATGTCTTGTATCCATTGCAGACTAGAAGTGATTGAACTTGATGATGATTTGCAGGGCGGATAGACGAGGAGATTTCAAAACTTTTGCAATTGCTTGGGCTCACTCTTCTGACTGGAGGCGTACTGTCCTTGCTGTAGGGTGTATACTGAATAATTATTGTCCGACGCTGATCCCTTTTGGGAGCATATACACATACACAGACTGCGACTTGCAGCCCTGTACGAGTGGGTCAAGTAGGTAGCATGAAAATGGCGAAAGGTGTTTTACCCCTACCTCATGCCTGAGGTACCCCCCCCCCCCCGGTACACAGCCACCCCGGGCGCAAAGGTTGCTTCTGAATGTCATTTTTCAAAAGTGACAATATCACTGTCATTCATGTATACGGCCAGTACTGTTCTCGACCCAAGCCAGTCATTGTAACCGCTAGCTGGTGACCAGTACCATACAGCAATCTCCCCTCTTTCGGTTGTCCTTGCATACAGTACAGTACCGCACACCCTACAGTGTATCTCCATGCTAAGAATTTTGAATACTGTACAGTACTGTACAGTACAGTATTCAAAACTGTACAGTACTGTACACTGTAAAGTAGACTTTAGTCCTGTGCTGTACTGTACTGTACAGTACAGTACGCCAACTACAAATTTCAGGCTCTCGATTGTGTACTGTACAGTACAGTACAATACTGTAGCCTATTGTACTGTACACTGTGCAGCAGACAGACAGCAGACAGACCCATCGATTCTGTACAGTGTACAGTACAATACTGTAGCATATTATACTGTACACTGTGCAGCAGACAGACAACAGACTCATAGTGGAACCTCTTCAAAACGGTCGTCAACATGTCCTTCAATAAAAGCAGTAAAAGCAAAGTCAAGAATAAACGTAACACTTCTGCAATAAAAAGTGAAAAAAATCGAAATAATCAGGTTATGTTTATTCAAGTACTATGTACGTCTTTCTGCATATTTTTAATTTGAACACTGTAGATTGATTATTCGCTTGCATCGACCGCTGATTCTGAAAGTAGTTTATCAATTTGCATAAGGATGGAGATATGAGCTCTGTGACAATAACAATACTGAAGCCCAAAGTATACTGACAATCTACCAATGCCATTGAAATCACTGATCGACTTATGGATAACAAATAAATTTCAAGGCACTTTGCTGTATAAAGTTGAAATAAGTATGATCTTAATTGTGTCGTAGGCAGGAAATTTTCCACCGAGAAGCAACGATAAATATAAAAGAGCAATTACCGATAATCACCATCGATATAGTGAACCATCAGGTATTGTACAACGTCCTACCTTGCAAACATCTCAATTGCTCCATGCTAGTGCTATATCCTGCTGATGTATTGATTTAGACTAATAATTTAACTGACTATCCAGCATTTTACAAATTCCTCTACCAATAGACTGTACTTGTTATCATATGGATCGATACGATTCGTATATTAATCACCTACTCGTATTCATTTTAGAGGAATTTTATCAAGACGAGGATGATGGTACTATCATAACGCATGAGAATATCCGGTCATCTTTAACATTGGGTAAGAATAGGTGTAGAGCTGCCAATGATGACATACAATTCCATTGTTAAAAATACCTACACTTATTACTGTTAGCTGTGCTAAGGTAGTTCTGCGATCGACGGGTAAATAAGATACTACATTTCTTAATCTTCTTTCTGTAACTTTAAAATAATACGGATGACATATTGGGAATAAAGAATACCAAGGTTATACTAGCGGTACTTGGATGCAAATTCTTCTTTAAGTTAGCAGTATAATATTGATCGTAGCTGAGTAAAGTTAATTATCCATATTGTAATGGAGAATTCCTAGTTCAGTACACGCCTGTTCATCTACTAAAGCACTTTGAAACGAATGGTATTATTCTACAGTACTGTATAGCACCTGGGAGTATTATTTGTACAGTATAATTTTATAGTAGGGATTGCACCTGTAAAAAATTTTGACTTAACCTTAATAATCATACTTGAATGCATAACAGCAGTATTTACCGGTAAAAAAATTTTAAAATTACTTTAACATGGTACTGTTCATAGAATATATACTGTAGTCTATGATACATAATCGTTATTGAATTGATAATATATTCACATTGTTCTATATACAAACAGCTAATTTAGTCACTCTCGATGTTATATTCAGCTAATAGCAGTTCTTACCTTCGATTTGATGAATGTGAAAAGGAATGGGATAAGATTAAAGATAATCAGGTATTTGCAATACTGGAAATCTAATTGCAAGGATATCTTTGGCAAAGTATACAATTTAAGAAAGTAACTTTTAAAAAGCGATGATGTTAAATTTGTCTAATTAATTATTTTTACCAACGCATGAATTGAAAGGGTACAAAATTTTACGCTATTTATTCGTTAGTAACTACACCTTAAACGTTGATATAAAAGCTGATTATTATTCTGTATAGTCATGATATTTTTCTACGCCTTGTTTGATTAATAGTTTTCATCAGTGATGAAAATCAATTTATCGGGGTTAGCAAAGTCTTTAGAAACTATTCCTTTGCACACCTTACTCAAAATAGATGATGCAGATTTCATGGTTAGTAGCTTTAACATAATATTTGTTCTTTTATTAATTTGCTAGAGTTAATATTTTTTATAATACTGTTATACTGTATTATGCTGTTTTAACCCTTAAAAGTATACAACTCTTAATGTACCCTATAATAGAATCAATTTTTCGTGTAAATAAATAAAAATAGTGATGTTGTTGCATCTGCACTCTTTTTCTCTCTAATAGCCATATATTACATTAGAGACGCATCAATCGACAACTACTTCACAATCAAATATAGTGCCCGTCGAAAATGTTGAATCTGAAGAATTGAAAAAAGAAAATGAGAATAGCTCTTTAGGCAGCAAAAAGCGCCGTGAAAAGATAAAAGAATCAAGTTTGCATATTAAGCTATCTAATATAGACAGCCGCAGTTATGCAATAGAGGATAATCAGAAGGAAAATGAAGAATTAGATCAATTATTAGCATTGGATGAACTCGATTTGCAAGAGCCAGCCGTGAATGAAAATGGTTGTTGCAACAGTCATAAATTCATAGTTTAACAATTGCATAGACTGTTTTCGTAGATAGATTAGCATCTAAAAATATGTTACAAGCATAAGAATGTGATTGAATCTTGTATAATTTCTTGATTAATACTTAGTAATATCCGATGACGTGCCTACTAATCCTGTAGCTGTTGAACAAATCCCAAACGTATCTGCAAATTCGGAGCCTGAGGAAATTACGACCGTAGCTTCTAGCGATAATGTGAGTGAATAAACGAATAGGAATTATATTTCCAGTGTAATCACTTACATTGGCTATTTTAAACAGGATCAGGTCTCGAAAAAAGAAAGCGTGGACGATCTAGAGTCCTGGCTAGACAGCATCATTGATTAGACTATACGTGAAGATTGGTAAAAGAAGAATTATATCTTCTGTAGAACCTTTGACTCTTGTAATGCTGATTTATAGTTTTATTGGAGAATAATGAAGACGCATGAATAATGTATAATATTGTATAAATCATTGAGAGATTCTTTACATTAGCAACTATCAATGTAAATTTTTATTATTGATATATATATAATCTTAGCCTAAGTACTATATTGGCAAGGACTTCTAGGTTGCATAATGAAATCTTTGTGCTAAATTTTATGTCAACTTGAATTATCTGGTACCCACCTTAATATTTGTCGACCAATTAGTTACAATTGAGATATTTATATTGTATTCAGCGATGATGTTAAGATAAAAAAATTTTCCATTTCAATGACGAAGCGAAAATAAAAATATAAACAATATTTTTATTGATAATAGATCAAAAATATTTGACTCCTTAATGGTGCAAGTACATGCATAAGCGGCTTACAAGGATTTAACATGACAATACTACCTTTAATTAAAACAATAATGCTTATTCTTACTTTACTAGTATGTGGAAAAGGTAACAGTCTTAGAAATATAGTAAAGCAACTAGCACAGTCTAGTCAGATATCAAGAGGATAACTGTAATAGAACAATATTGATCAAATTTGCGTAGCACTTAAACGTATCGAATACTACCATTACTTACGTTACTACAAGATAACTACAAGTACGCCATTTTTGCACGATTGAATTATCATTATGGTTGATAAGTTGAATCTTATGCTACCTTGTTCATTAGTACTATTTAATGCAAGATTAATAACGTATACGTACTTTAATTTGATAATTATGTTCATTACACATATGTTAGCTATCAATTTATCATCATACTTTTTAAGTACTTGGATAGTGATGGCTACATCTTTGGTTAAATTAAAGTTGATTAACGCTAAGAATAATTTTCCTTGTAGACAACGACGACGTACTGTTTGATAGAATTGTCTACGCATTCACTTAATATCATGTAGGTTGCGACATAACTCACAAGGTTATATACTGCAATAATATTTGAAAGTTTCTCAAAGAAAGGACCAGCTCTTCTCTTTCTAGGAGCAGTCTTGGCTACTAAGTCAATAATTACAATGGAGGAATGATGCCCATCAGTCTCGTCAAATTTCTCCACTTAGAGTAACTACTGGAAGAAGTAATAACGTCGCGTAGGCTCAATATAACCATTCTGCTTATACTATAACATAATGTATAAGACTTTTGAAAGATTACTCGCAAGGTTATTACTATCAAGACATGAATATCTGAATCGGGGTTGTCTTGCGCATAATGGGCTTCATAAATTTCTGTTACAGCAACTTTGTATACGCGAATGGAGTATTTCATGAGGTAAAAAAAAAGTTATTGATGTAGAATCGACTTTCATCCATCTTTTCATCACAGAAATTGACAACTACACATCTATATATATTTAAATTATTGTTTTTCGGTGTAAGTTACAGTAGCTCAAATAATATTTTCAGTAACGTTACAAAAATACGATGAAAGGTATCTGAAGCAGAGCCATGTTTATTCGAGTTATACTTTTCAGCTGCGGCATTAATGGCGTCATCTTTTTCTCCCATTACTACTGTTAATTGGTAAACTGATTGTTCATATGACACATGACCATAAATTGCAACGCCAATAGGTCGCTTGGCACTTGAAGAGATGGTGATTATATCTCGTCCGCACGTATTGGAAACATGAGAGTAGTGATCGAAGTCAGGCTTTTCGTTCCCTTCATCAGCGTATATATCAGCATCTCCGGATATGGAATCTAAGATTAGTGTATATGTTCCACCTTTTGTGATAGTATAGTAAGTATAATTACCTCGTCCTATAGCCCCGTCAAATACCTTGACATTGCCATTTGCGTCGACCGTCCTAACAATGGCCATAGAAAGGAAGAACATGGTCATAAAAGCCATTGCTAAGTTTGAACGGCAATTTTGACGAAAAGACCATGTCATGATGAATGATGTTATGCTCAATTTGACTTGTGTTTCAATATAAGAATTCTATTCGAATACAATCACTTTCGGCCAAGATCAAGTCTTTAATTGCATACACGATGTCAATAAGTCTATTGTTGTACTTGTCTTGGCACTAAGAAAAAATCTCTTCCATTCCAAGTTGATTGTATTTCCTGACTAAAAAAATGGAGGCCAATGTCCAGTTCTTAATAAATCACTCTTATTCTAACATACATCTACGCATCTAGAATAAGCAAGAATTGCAATTCTATTGACCTTGATACTATATGATATCAATTATCTTTCTTTCCTTGATAACTGACGACACCAATTTTAATCATCAAAATCCAGTGCACTACTTGCATGCATGTAGGAGAAAATGGCCACCTTTACGCGTCTCTTTCAAAATGGATGCTGATCATCGATGCGTATAGTATGTATTGGATAACTGATCACCAAATCCACAATATCCTAATTGATTGTCTGATGTACTCGATCCGATTGCTTAAATAGTAAACTAAAACCTTCAATATAAATCTAGTCAACAAATGGATTGCTCGAAGTTAACGAGAATTTTGAAGGGCCGAATTTGAGGAAGGCGCAGCTTTGAGAGTACGGTACAATACTATACACTACATTACGGTAATGTACGGTGAGTACACGGTACAGTACCCTTATCGTTAACCTGATACGGTACAGCGCAGTACGCATGTCCAATATTGCACAAAGTTACACTGGTACAGTAGCTTTTAGGTCCGTACGGACTGGACTGTCTGTATGTAGTCTGTGCAAAAATAATATCATTGGTAGCAATTCATTTCCTACTAGTTTGATGTCGGTGAATCTTGAACGAACCTTAAAAACCTCACGTTCAATTTAATTTTTAATTTTTATACGAAGTTGCGACTGTCTAAGCATTGGTGTACTTTACCAGTATATCCAGCATAATGCTATTCAATAATATCGAATAATACAGATTTATTACAGATCAAAAAGAATATTTATTTTACTTATATCCGATAGCATGATTGAATGGTGAGCAAAACATGATATCACCGTACCTCAATGGAAGGTACACCGTGCCAGTCTCTATTAATATGGACTACTAGTACAAATAGTTGATCTCCTCACTTGTTCTGCTTTGCCTGTCATACTGTACCAACTATAGTTATACATCTGTTTACGGTTAATATGCGTAGTAGTGTACTGTAATTAATTAATTTTATTAAATGGAAATTCGACCGGTGATTCCACCTTTCCTAGGATTTCATTTCGATCCCCTTATTTAGTTGTCTTTGGCAATGATGGCGTAGTATCAAACAGGCCCCTCCGAATATGGTATTGGTAATAATGCTAATAACTACAGTATTTCATGTTCACAACATTTAGTAATTCATGATCCAGGCTGTAGTACAATATCATTGATCTTGAACGCACCAATATCTACTATAGTGACTAGTGCTAAACGTTCATCTACCCTAGGCCTGAAGTCGCAGTTGGAATTCCAAACATTGTAGGCTATTAAAAATAAACACTATCATATAAATTCGACATTTAGTCACAGCTTAGTTTTATTGAGCTATCTACAATAGAAATAACTACAATATATATTAACTTCCTCTTTGTAATTGACATGATTGGGTTTATAAAATTTTTAAAACTTCTCGATGATATAATAATAAAGGAAAATGTAATATTGGAAACTTGATGAGTCACTAACGGTCATAGTCGTAACGTAGACATTATTGGGTTTATAAAATTTTTAAAACTTCTCGATGATATAATAATAACGGAAAATGTAATATTGGAAACTTGACGAATCACTAACAGACATAGTTGCAACGTAGATATTTCTAATAATTGTCTATACAATAACTTATCATTTTTCTTGGCTCCTTAATAAGGTACCGTTCATTTTTACAGTCATTAAATATTAAAATTGATGTTACGGAAGCGTGTAAAAGGCAAAATTCAAGTATTGAATCTCATCTATTTCACGTCGCCTCCGCAATAACTCGATTGTGAAATCATAGTATTACTCCAATATATAAACAGTAATACAATTTGTACCAAATAGGTAGACACGTATTATCAAATAACAGATATACACATGCTGTACACTATATGCAAAATTTTCACTTTGTTTTACAACTGACGGGTTGAAAACAATATAACATGCATAGCTTAACAGATTGATAAACTAAAAATTACAATTTCTGAGCACGTCCTACAAACATCTCATCGTAAATAGATATAAGCAATATCATAAAAAGCAGTCTCTACTTGTAGATCAGAATGGATATAAGAGTATCAGAGTGGTGTTAGGGAATTAGCTATCTGTATGCTTTTGTTGATGCTTACTTAAGTTTCTCTTAACGCGAAAAGATAAATCACAGTCACTGCATTTATACGGTTTTTCATTTGTATGCAAACGAATATGCTGTCTTAAATTAGAGAGTACAGAAAATGCTTTAGCACAATATTCACAAATGTACGGCTTTTCTCCCGTATGAGTTCTAGTGTGTACTTTCAAGCTTTGCCTTGTTGTAAACGCCTTGGTACAATCGTGGCATTCAAACAGATTCTTCTTTTTGTGTATATCTTTAGCGTGTAATAAAAGTTGAGGTTTAGCATCGAAGGTTTTTTTACAAATTGTGCATTCGAAAACGTTCAGATTATGAGTTTTAGCGTGCATAGTTAGATTGCGGCTTGCATCATATTTCGTTTTGTAAATGGTAAATTTTTGGACTCCACCGGTTTTTAGAACGTTCGATGCTGACTCATCACCAGCTATTTCGCCATTTAATGCAGCTGTCTCCTCTCTTTGCTCTGTTCCCTCTGTGGTACGATTGGGTATTTCCTCAGCGTTATCTGAATCTATATCCATTTCTTTCGCCAAAGATTGCGGAGCAACTTCGCCATCGTTTGTACACGATATTTCATCTTCATTCTCTTCCTCCTGGTAATTTGCAGTTGCAAACGCAGTAACGTGGGAAATAATAGTAGTGAGCAGCGTTGCTAATGCAATACAGGTTTGGCCATAATCGATTTCTTCGCTGTCTCCTAGTTCGCTGCCAATGCATTTCAACAACATCGTTGACCAATAGGTTAACTGTGATAAAACGATATGTCTGAAGGTAGGCATTTGACGATTAATCACAAACAGTTGTGCAGTAAGTTGTTCCGCAATATCATGTAAGACCTGTTGTAAATGCTGAACATTTTGTAAGGTCTCCTTTCTAGATTGGCTATGTATTGAATCAGTATTAGATCGTGAAGCTACTGCCACTTTTTCCGTCACTTTTTCCAAAGTTTCTACCAACTTGTAACAAGATAGACCTAAAACTTCTGCTGTGGTATCATCTCTTGTTAGAGTCGATTTTAGATCGCATAGTTTGGTCGATAGCTGTATAAAAATAATATTATATCATTAACATTGCAATAGTACTATTAGTAGATTAGACTGTCTTACTATTCTTTCTTTGCTAAAAGTATGTATTTCGCAATGGTTTTACAATAGACTTTAGAACTTCTACCGGTTTCTGTAGAATAGATGTATGCGTAGGTATAATAGTCAGTAAAATAAATTGTCTTTATGATTGCGAATTCGTAGCTAATTATAGTCAGAATGCTTTTTTTAATGTTGGTGTCGTTTATGGTAGTATAGAATAGGTACTACGGGAAATGAGATATTGTTGGTAGGATAAATTTACAAGCTATACAATATAGTTACTACAGTAGATTGTATTGGAAATAAAGGAATCAAGTTCTTGCACTATTTTGATAAATCACTCGGTAGAATTGCAATATTGCGGCGTTCGCTGTTGGCATTGGAGGAATAACGAGGAAAATTTGTCTCAATAATGGAGTTACAGTACCGTAGAAGAAGTAGGATCCAAACAGTAATCTTTATTTTCTGTGAAGAATAACGCAACAGCGTACGTCATCAATTCTGAATTGCAGTGATTCTGCATGTCGACGGCAAATTACTCATACTATTTTAAAACCAGTACATAATCTAATTGAAGCAAATGTCGATTTAGGGTGATAACTAGCGGGTAAAGACGGTCAATATGATTGTATAAGCTACAAGCTGGATGAGGAATGGATACTAGAATGGAGTAAGTGCAATCGTAATTGTGAAATCGGTTGAATAAATAAATAAAAAAGTGATTCAATTATTCAGGGCACCAAGGGTATTGAACTCTAACATTAAGAGGTCATTGGTTGCCACCACGTTGCATCTAAAGGCTTTATAAAACATCAGGATGTTGTACTAAAATTTTACAGCTAGCTTCATTTGATGAGTTACTTGACGTATCTGTAGTTCCATTGAGTAATTTAATCCCAAAAGCAATATTTGAAGGGCTTTCTCGCGTATTAGTGCGCAGAATTTGTAAGTTTAATGAAGACTCATATCGCGAGAAAGGAACTGGTCCCTCTCGCCTTATTATAGTTGAATCATAGACCAGTCGATTCTCCCACTATTTCGATAAAATTACGACTTTATTTAATCATCATCTAGCGAATAATAAACTGCCAAAGTGCTCACGCTATGCTCACTCCTTGTTCTTAGTGTAGTGGTATTGTGCATGCATACCAGAATCATCCTTATTATCTCGAATTTCTCTCAGCGATCAAAGAGTAATGATGGATTGACATTATAATGAATATTCATGATCTTATACGAGAAATTAGGAAATTGCTTATTAAGTTAACCATCCTAGAGCAGATTCTCGTTTATTACTCGTTCATTACTAGGGTATTGTCATCATAACAAAAATAAATACAGTGGTGAAGTCTTCAATGAATGAAGACTGAAAAGTTGTATTTTGGGCAGAGTCTTTCCTCTTTGAGTTGATACTAAATTCAAGAGTGCATGGCATTGATGTTTGAGTTTGCAAATTGACAATGTTGCAATATCTTGATAAGCCATAAAAATCTTTTTACTATCCTTAATGAACAGTACACACGTTCTCAATTGCAAACTCTGCTATAACACGGTAGTCTATTACGCTTTATTACGACCGCTATCTTCGTAGTCAACGCGATCAATTAGATTAGAAATAACAGATAATCAGTCAATGTTAGTCTAGTATAATCAAGTATCATCTGCCTCTTTATCTCAGCTTTGATAAAGTCTCATAGTACAGTAAGTTAGTCAACAATTTGATGGCAGGGTAGATACTACAAATATTACTGGTATAGCAATCAACGATGAGGATCCATTGAAAGAAAGTAAAATATCCTTGTAGTCAGTTATGCTTAGCCGATGTCTTACTGTACAGTGTACAGTTCGGTAGAGTACTGTATGAGGTGATCGTCTGCATTCTTCTTATTCATGGCCAATTTCATCGTTGGTCAGATAGGACTATACTCGTACCCATTATAAATTGAATCTACTGTATCAACTGTATCAATAGAGTTTCTATTAACTTGGATATACAATGTTAAGGAATTTTGATTTCCTTCATTTTCTACCAAGTATAATTGCATCATTCAACCTATCCGAAACTTACATCCGATACACATTCACCGGTATTTGGACTGTGTTCTTTGGTGATTTCATTCTCCATGGCAAAACTACTGCTATATCGTGTACGAACAGTACAGTTGATCGATAATGTATGTAATCAACGTAATTCTATCTGTGGCTATGAATACTGTAAAAATTTTATGACGAGATGGTAAAGGAGGAACTTCCTCCAAGGAAGACTTTGGAAAATATATTTCACCTTTCCCTTTAGGTAGAATAGTAGAATCCAGTAAGTACGAGGTTATGACGAAGACTGATATGATTTTGCGCACAGTGTCCAGTCTACTACAGTACTTACTACTGTATGAAGTCGATCGGACCCGAGTCGTAAGAAATGGAGATTTCAATCCATTTTTGATTTATTTCTCTGTTTATTTTTTATTCAATTCCATTCCTGAATTGGTCCATTCACACGACGGACTCTTTAGCACTGGCGATTTTGAAAATAAAATAAAATAAGAGAAAAGAGACCATTTCTGATAGACAAGTCTTGTCATAGCCTAACTGTACAGTACCTCTCACAGTACTGTACACTGTACAGTACCTAAATCTAGTGCAGTACTGGACCGCTACTACTAGAATCCGTTATGGTCTGGAACGGTCCGGTTCCGATCAGTTCGTACCGGTATGACAGACTGACGGAAGCTCATCGCACTAGCATAATAAGAGGACTGTCGCGCAGGACACGTTAACCGGTACCGTGTAGTTGACGTGCCGTGCCGTAGCGAGCCCAAACGATCCAAAGTCAGTACGGTGCTGTACTGTATATGACTACTAAGACTGGATATCATTTTTTTTTATTTATTTATACTACTGTGCTACGACTGTCTTAAAGCAGAGAGTGTGGATACCTAGCCGACCATACTGTTCCTCTTCGTTGTTGGATTTGTAAACGCCGAGTTGGCAAGGATACTTCTATCATTCAAGAAATAGTCGCCAGTAAAAGGTTGGGGTAACATGGATTCAAGCAATTTAGTGGCCAGAAAATGGCTGCAAGAATATGCATCAGGTTATTCGGATAATCAAATAAGCGATAGGATTGTCCATCACTTGGAAAATTTACATACGTTATTGGCCGACAAGACACCTGATCTCAAGTCCATGTTGACGGAGAATATCATCCGATATTTTACAACTCCTTTAGATTACTTCATCAGTAATGGACAAATGAAAGAATTGAAAGACTATCTGAGCACTAGTAATAAATCGGCAATATGTGGTAAAGTTTTCAACGCCGGTGAACCAACTTACACATGCAGGTATAGCATGGTCGGACTCTACAATGGCAAGAGTAGATTCACTGTCAATAATAAATTCCATTTTGTAATGCAGTATTATTATGATGATGACGATGATGATGATCAACATAAATAATTATTTTCATTGCTATCCATCTCCTATCGCGCTTTTATGCCTTCTACTCGATACACTAGACCTACGTTATCAATAGTACCAAAAGCATACTCTACATATTGCCTAAATAAGGAAAAATATCTTGTTGCTGAAAAGACCTGTGTCATCTTAACCATTGCATTAATTAGACATCATCGCCCCCCCCATCTTTGTTCTAGCTAAAAAATCACATCTTTTCTACAACAGCGTCTTGATCAACGCTCGAAAGATCATTTCTAGTTGGATCATACATACATCCTTTAACGTATTGTAGATCCATCACGGATAGTAGCAGTACATAGTAGGTATACATGAGATTTGTCCATTTGAACAGCTGGACGATCGTTCAAAGTAGGATTGCAAAGTCTGATACGACTACATGAATGGGATAAATTACTATATAAATAATAAACTGCGTAAAACTTCAATCACTGACTCAATAGCTGATGACTAGTGAATAGTTAGTTAGTTAATCATCAAGCTCGTTTGATTTGACATCAGCCCAATCGGTATTCAATGGGATAATCATATCGGATCATATTGACGCATATTCTGCCTTGATCAAGCAAAATTTCACGTCGTCTGTACGGCACTGTTTGCGCTTGCATGTTTACAAGATGGACATGATACACGTACATACAGTATGTCGCGGGTAAATCCAATGTTTAACCCACCAAAGTATAGAGTAGATTTAATAATTATAATTGGTTCATGGACCATTATAGTTTGTAAGTTAGAAGAAATCGGACAATCCAATATTTCTCAGCCGTTATCTAAAAATTTTACAACAAACGCAATTCGATAATATTTTATTTTTTCTCCATTGATCAGTTCTGCCATGTCATCTCGCATGTCTATTTTTACGATCTGTTATGAGCGAATGTTACTATTAGTCTAGAGAAGAGATTTGATTTTACTGAATTCGTTTGATCGTATCTACAAATTGATTCCCCTGCGCTCACTCTATGTACGCGTATATTTTCCAATCCACGCAATGATACTTCCTTGTTGATTCTGGACAACACACTACTATTGGTATAATAAGGGACAATATTCTGCACCATATATTCTGTTCATTCTGAAAAAGTTCCTAAAATGATGCATCATTGTTCATTCTTGACAGCACACTATTGGTGTAATAAGGACAATATTCTGCTCATTCTGAAACAGTTTCTAAAACGATGCATCATTGTTCATTCTTGACAGCACACTATTGGTGTAATATGGGACAATATTCTGCTCATTCTGAAAGAGTTCCTAAAACGATACATTAGTCAAGTCAAGATTGAGGCTTGTTGCAACATGTTTTATTTTCTATTCTTAGTTATAACATCAATATCAAAAATTACTACCATATAAGCGGACTAGAAGTATTATCCTATTTCTTGTTAGTGCAATGCTTCCATGTAGGTTAAAATAGTTGGCTAGGACACATGAATACTTGGATAGATCTATAGAGTCAGGAAGTGATGTACGACATGATGCCATAAAGCCTGTCGACAGTACTGTAGTAGTTCATGGTAATGGAGGAATTTGCTATATTCTGTATGTTGAGATAGAGTTGATAATGGCACTAAAACTAATGGTAATAACCAAGACCAGATGGGTTTTCGGTTACTATTTTTAATGATTTTTACTTTCCCTTCCGTTTTAATTCTGTCCGTAATAAACTATAGTACAATTGCTTCTGTAATCCATGCTAGAATCTGACGCGACAATTTCTTGACTGTTTTTTATTATTTTTCGTTTACCAGACACTAAGCTAGGATCAGTTATTTACAGTATTTATTTGTAAACTTTAATACCGAGTAGACCCGATCTCGGCCATTTGTCAAGACTCAGCAAACACCCACTTTCTATTGCTTGAAACCGTTTCTGAAAAGTACTGAGTACAGTCGGTACAAACGAAATACAATTAGAGTATGCCACAGTTGAAATAAAAAGTCAATGAAAACGATAAGAGTTAGACAACCTATGCATAATATACTGTACTGGTAAATTGCAATCGCTTGTGGACATCATCTTACGCCAGTTGCAGGGTTTTAGTAGTCGATTAGGTTGGATAATTCTGAATATAGAATTATTATGAATGTACTCAAGCAATGCTTATAATTCAATTGAATATATAAGAATAGAATAGAGCAAAAATTGAATTACAAATACTGTACATTAGTTTAGACTTCCTTTGCAAGTCAATACACTTGATCAAGTTTGTTCAACTGTACAATATTCAATAGCTTGTAAACTTACTCAATCTTTGGGGGGCTATAGTTTACGTAATTTAGCGCTATTAAACTCTACGGATAGGCCGCAATGATCTATACGTATAACTATAACAAAGTAAGAATAGCGATAATAAATTAGAATGAAACGATTAAATATTTTATCTTCTCTATGGGAAAATACTTTGCAATAGAAATTGTCATGCGCCAGCAATACTGGTGTATCATGTACTGCAAAGCAGATTTCTCAATTGAAATTGTACAGTAGTATAGATGGCGTACCGTGCCATGCTGTGCATAAGATTGACATTGTCGCTGTAGTATAGTAAGATGATTATAACAAATATAACTCGCTCCATTTAATTAGAATTGAATTGAATCACTTAATAAATGATCCATTTAATTTTTTATATTCGTTACACTGTCACATGCTCGATACTATTGAAAGCTAGACGTGGGATAACTCACAGCGTTCGTTGAGTATGCCACAGATCGCGTTTAGCAATAGCCTGGTACAAGGATTTCACACCTGATCATCAGTCGAGCATAAAAAAGGCGCATTCTGTATAGTATGCTAGACTGCTATACTATCGAAATATTACATTCCACGATTAGATAGTGCAGTACGCTGCAACGGTATTGTTATGGAGAAAAAAAGTGGTATTGAGTTAGATCATATTATTATGTTTATTTTATTAATGCTAAAACATTGATTTTATGATCGATAAATTAAATTTTACATTAATAAGATAGAAAAAAAAATTGAGTATTAAGCACTGCAGAAAGCTTGATTAGTGGCTATCCTGACTGTATTGATCGCTTATAATGCTTGCATCGATGATTTACTTTAGTAAAATTAGGCTATATAAAAGCTCAACTTTTAGTAAGAGCGACGTGAATGTCTTGTCTATTTTAATTCAATTCAATGTCGACGTAGATGATTACTGATAATCTGTAAAAAAAATTGAAGTTTCTGATATTTTTTAACAATCTCGTCATTCGGTATTCATCTGCATTTTTGTTACAATAGTTTAATCTTATGCTAATAGTACCGAATTATTTGTATACTATATCCTTTATTTGCTTTATCAGGGATTGTGCCATGGATCCTACCTGTGTGATGTGTAATCAATGCTTTCAAAACAGTATTCATAAAGATCATCGTTATCGGGTTAGTAGCTAACAATATCACTGTATACTAGTATTACTCAGTCGATTATAATTTTAAAAAGATCCCCAATATCCGTAAAAGCAGGATAGAGAGTAAAAACTAAAGCAGCGTAATTATTAAATTATATTTACATCACAATGATCCTCTAATATGACAACATAAATTATATGTACAGATGCATACCTCAGCAGGAGGCGCAGGATGTTGCGATTGTGGTGATGCCGAAGCTTGGAAATCCGGATATGCATGCGATTTTCATCTAGCAAATGATGTTGAGGCAGCTCCGGTATGCTATATAAATTGGTTATGAGATGAGAATGGCAGTCTTTGTATATCATGATGCGAGTATATTGTCGCAAATATTATTGCTATTGGTATTTCTACTACATTTAGCTCGCTTTAAAAATATGAAATATTAATGTACTAGAGTATGTTAGTCCTAACATGATATTCAATTGATTTAGGTGCAATTACCGCTTGACGTGGAAAGAAGATGTTCAATAGTATTTGATGCTGTCCTTAGATATGCTATTACGGTGCTATTGTATGATGGTCCGGATGATATGCCTGCCGAATTATTTCAAATGTTGGTGGTGTTTTAGATGTTTATTTCATATAACACAAAATAGCCTGGACTACTTTATTTTTTGGGTATCATTTTTGCGCACTAATTCTATATTTAACATATCCAATATTCATAGGTCATTGCCACCGCTATATGTTACTACATTATATAACGATGAAGTCCATACATATCAAGAGGTGTGCCAACAAAACGAATTCGTTGACTGTAGACAAACTTAAAAGTTGTATTTGCATGTAAAATTTACTAGTTATTTCAATAATTGTTATGGTTATCATCAAATAGGTCATAAGACAGTTACAATTGGCCATTAGTTGTACTGAACTGCAAGCGTCTCAGATTGCTGGCATAGTTGATCGAACGGTTAGGATTTATACGTGTATTCTTTAATCGTCAACTTGTGTTTTATATAGTGACTATATTCCTAATTTGTTGCCATCCTTTACACCCATAGGGTAGAGCGAGAATAGGAGTTGGCGATGCTATTGAATGCAACAGAATTCGAAGGATTATACAAAAGGTTGTGTATGATAAAATTCAATTGTATTTTATATTCGTTTTGCAATTAGCAAATATTGCTACTCGATAATGGTTAATAATCGACTACCAGTTCGACTTACGTATTGCAACTATTACTCTGACAGCGCAATTCAGAATTGCCTCATATACCGATAAGAGGAGCTAAACCGCTTGTAATCAAGATATTACATACGACTCTATTTGAACATCAAGAATTGGCTATCAACCTGCTTAATTGGCTGAATGATTTTACATCTTCATCTAGTAGGCAGATAATAATAAAATTTTACATGCATGCTAGATACATTTGCTACTTATCACTAAAATTAAATGGTATTGAAGTGGTAATAAAACTACATAATTTATTGACTGATGCATCCTTCTAATTTTACTTACAGGTGCTTTGATTTTATTATTCGGTAAAATTGCTATGGACTCTAATAGTCATTTTGATAAAAGCTACTTAGAAATACTATTACATTCTGATACACAGCTTTGGAAGGGTAATGATCGAATTTAAAATTTCATCGATACTAGTGATAATTTACCTGTATATCAGAAAATAGTATTAATTACTACTTGGTCTGTATACTTAGATGCAAGAACTGCTTGGCATCAATTGTGTATGGCATGGTAATGATGTGGTTTATGATGTTATTTTTGTCTGTATTATTCCTATGCTATACTTACTTGTATAATAATTGTTTCTTTATTTAGTATTTTAGGAAGTTCTGATCTCAAACATCAATTTAGTGTATTATACGTAAAGGTAAGGCATTGCTCAAGTTTAAATGGTCATCATTAATTAAGGATTGAAATCTAAAGTACAAAGTGTGTGCCATAAGTCCCTTATTTGATCAAGCTCTCTTTACTGTTGCAGGAGTATGCTAAAATCCAGAAAGATTTCATAGAGGACGATCATCTTCATTCAGTATCGGTAATTTTTTTTCCAAATCATAATGGAATACAAAGTTCGATCCGCATATTTACGCTTATTTTGTTCATGATACAGATCACATCGATGTCGGTTCAGCTATTTACTTCTAATTCATTGGTAAGACAAAATTTGAGAAATATAACTTTTAACGTCATGAATATTACTGCTAAATACATAAACCTTGTTTTACTAAAGAAAAATTTTTAAATTTTCCTATTAGTCGCGCTACTTAGTGATAGAACATGATTGCTTGGCTAAAATTTTATCGACGTTTTGCAATGCAATTAAACCTAGTATAAATCCCGGTAAAACATTGTAAATCTACAGCCTATATTCGTCAATTCAATTCTAGAGATGTCGAATTTGACTAAGATTTAATGTTTAAACTTCATTTTTAGTTGCCGCAAGAGATGGAAGACTAGCCCAACTTCGAATTCACGAACTATCCAGATTAGAATATATGATAATAGACGTAAAGTAAGTTATCTATTTAGATCTTATGCTTGGTTTATAGTATTGATTGACATTCATATTAAATAGTACAAAAATATACAATAAAGTAGTTTTACTAGATATCTTAATTCGTCCAACTAAATGACTTTTCCAGATATATCTTAAGTCAAGTACCTGATGCAGAGTCATGGACTGATGACTTAAAACATGCATTTTTACGTGGTTTTGATGAATATCTCAAGTTGTTATCCATACTTGAGGTGATGATAAATTTGTGTGATTAATTTTAACTATATTGTTGTTATAACCTGTACTCAACTGATACATACTTCGTATTTGAATCTTTCAGGGCATGGAAAGTTCCAAACGTGTTTCTGGCCGTCATATTGAATATGAACCCAATTGGGAATTTTCTGTCCGAATTTATATAACTTTATGCATTATTGCACCTTTAATATTACAGTGGTGTACCAGCAATGTATGTAAACTAGCAGATCGTTGTCACTATCCCAGTTAAAGTATAATTGTTATAATAATATTGATTAATTTAGTTAATATACGCATAGGTAACTACGGCATCGGAAAAAATAATTTAATTCGTTGCGTTAATTTGTTGGATTAAAAATTATTACCATTTAGTTGGAAATTCTGAAAGAAGCGACAGGAAGAACAATAAAAATATTGTGTGAAACTTGTTATAGCGATTCAAAGTCTCTACTAGACCATGCAATAGGTTATAATTAGTTTTATCAAATAGTATTAATTGATCATTTTAAAATATTATAGAAATTTATTTTGATTTTTATTGTGTCCATTAACCGACGATCATAGTTGATTCTATTGAGTACCAAACCATCAACTATGATGTCTCTTCGGAACTAGTGTCATTGGTGTATCCTCTTTCTCGATTGTTAGCTGGTATGTCTATAAAGATACTAAGAATCAATTAAAGTTAACATTTATGTTACGACAAAGTTATGGATATTTTAAAGAAGGTATACTCTTTGATTGCAGGCCTAATGTCCTCTGGAAGCCGGCATAATCATGAATCTATATGCGAGCTTCTTCCTACTGGCGTAAGGGATTTATCAGCAACAATTAATGATCGTGATCACTATATGTTAGTAAATCTCAAGACAAATTTCGTTCTGTTCATTTTTAGAGGGAAGAAATACTTCCAATTCTGTTAATGGAGCATTCCGTAAGAGCTTTAGTATTAGCAGCCCAGGTTGCTTCCTCTATGTGGAAATTTAATGGTTATTACATTGTTAATCAGGTAACCTTTTAGATTTCTACGAATGAGAAATGGTTATTACAACTATATCGGATGTGATTAGATCTATCTTATTGCAGGTTCATCATTACAAAGTTGGCAAATGTCGCTCTCAAGCCTATGATAAAGATATACTTATGCTTCAGGTAATGCTATGTTTACTCTAGTAGTAGAGCATTATAGGATGCATGAAAGATTTTGTATTCTTCCTGAAAACTACATTTGACATTTCTGTTGCTCTTACCGAAATATTTATTCGTAAATAGATCGTCGGTTCTATAGTAGATCCGGATTGGTTCCTTGCTTGCCTTTTGCAGAAATTTAAGTTATTAGATTGGGTGGAGTAAGTTTTAAACTTTTAATTAATGGATGATATCTTGTTTATGGCACGAAATCTATAAGAGCCACTCTATCTTCTACTTATTCGCATAGTAATATTTATTTCCCTTATCTTTAGTATTCAAGGTGGCTCTCGCATTGACAACTTGAAAGAGGTGCATGCAAATAATTTTATAAGAAGTTACCTCTAGAATTACATTTTTTCATTGAACAAGCTGTTTATATATAAAAAGAGTTTTACGTTTTGCTAATTTATGACGTTCTCAACGTAGGATATTTGGGTTGCTAGATCATCTTTAGCCAGAGAATTTTTATTATTATTAATTGCGGTTATAGGTGAGTGAATAAGCAACAGCGCAATATTCCGCTATCTTAAAATTATAGGTGTCGAAAAGTACTTACGTAAATGATGAACAGCTAAAAGTTATCTTTCTATTATTAAGGTGAGAGATATCATGTAGGCATTGGAGACGTCACTCCTGCAGATACCGTAAGACACGAAATACTACATTATCTCTATGTCAGTCCAAAAGCTCACAGTGAAATTACCAAATTTTTATCAACGTCTCAAGTAAGATAATACAAATTTAAGCTATTGGAAAAAATTTTGCTTTATTGAAATTACTCATTAACACAACCCTTGCTAATTTTCAATCTCATAGGAGGATTGCGCAGAAGTTGACATTGATGAAGTATTATCTACTATAGCCAACTATAGGTAGATCGGTTCTATTGATTGTATTTTTCGAGGTATAATATATGTAGCTCTTAAAATGGTTGTATTTTTAATTCCGAAAGAAAACCTGGATTAACTGGTAGAGGGGTATACGAATTAAAACCAGAATATTATGAAGAATATAACCCTTTCTTCTATCATTACTCTGTTTCGGATCATTCTAAGGTATTTTAGTTCCATAATTTATGTAGTTTCATTAACAGTGATCCCTGCCGCAAGATTTGTAAAGTTTAGATTTGAAAATATTTTTGTAGGCAGAGGAAAGACGAAAAAGAATTAAAACGGAAAGCGATAATCGCAGTACGTTTTATGCTTGACATCACTTATAATAGTAATCTTTCGTTACTAATATTGTTAATGTATATGGCTAATATTTTGCTATGTAGATCAATCGCCGCCATCTTTACCGAAACTTACAAAACCTTTCTATAGCTTGAATAGAATTCTTCAATCCTCTCTCTTACGTAGAATGCTACTAACAATATTAACTCGTTGTTGTGAGGATTCACAGAAGAATTGGATCGATCCTCTATTACATCCCACTCTATTCTTGATAGCTATGAATTTTGGAGAAATAGAAAGTGCTTATCGAGAAGGATTTATTAACTTAAATTCGGAATTAAGTATGTACAATTAGATGTTATTGTAACGGCACTAATATATTGGATATTATGTAATTGATTATTCGATGTTTCGATGCGAAAGTTACGAATTATCGTTGCAATTGTAGGCCTTCTTTCAGAGATCATATCGAAAATAGATATATTAAAGAATGAAACGTCAGCAAGCGATTTTTCAAAGTTAATAAATTGGATTATATCGGTAAGTAGTTTTGAATGTGGGATCTATGAAAAACTTATTTCATGCTTGCCTCGGAAATAAATTTTATTCCGTTTATCTGGTAGCAATGTGATAATTGTAATGTTTGTATGCTGTGATCATGCTTAAATCGTAAGTGATAAAAATGATATAATTTTTCGATATTAAAAACAGACTTATCGAAAGTTGGTATCTTTCACTGCTGGTTCTAATTCAGTTACTAATGTAACTAGTGAGACTACTGGAAAAAATAGATTTGAAGAAGCAAAAAGAGCAAGAGCACGGTTAGCTGCGCAACAGCGAAATAAAATCATGGCACAGATGTCTGCTATGCAAAAAAATTTCCTAACACGAAATGCTGATATCCTGAGTACTTTACAAACTGACTCTCTCACCGATCCTGAATCTAGGTATCGAATTATATAATCATTCCAGTACTTTTTCTACAAACATTTAATACAGATTCTTTACAATATTGTTATTAATATTACTGTAATACAGAACTTATAATGATGCATGCAAGGAGCTGCTGCGACTTCTACGGTCGACCATAATATAATCTTTTATAATAATTGTTACGTCTGTAGTTGTAATGCGTGTAGAGTAACGTGCAATACAGTTGCAGTACCAGTAAACCTTGTAATTGTAATATAACTTCATGATGTGTACATCTTTATGGAATAGATTACGGTACAATGTTGGGTATCGTACTGTTACGACATGCATAGATACAGTATATAAAGTCGCGAACAACTTGAATAAAATCACTTCTTTTCTTTACACTAGAATTGAGGAGTCTATGCGTTAAGTTATATTACTCGTCTCGGAGCAGTTCTTTAACAATAATCAATTTTTAATATAGTGAGACATTAATGGAAATGAACGAAACTGATGAAGTTATTGCTGTTGGTGCCTCTCGTTCATGTTTCCATATCGGCGCGCCTGAGACGATATCCTGTATTCTCTGCCAAGAAGATGAACAAATAAAATTAAGTGATCGTCCTATGGTTTTGACGGGATTATCGCATAGGTAGGTTATTACTGTTAGCAATTACCAAGTACTAGACTTTAAAACATTTTTATTAACTTTATACCGTAATTAAGTTAACTTAACTATTTCATATTGTAAATACTATATACAATAACGTTGATATATATTGAAAAGGTCGGTAGTTTTATCTCAACTCGGTTCAGAAAATGATACTAAATTAGGTAGGCAATGCAATGTTTTGTATTTCCATTAACTTTAAAACGAAATTATCGCATTTAAGTGATCTATTCAATGTTACTTTATGTATATTTTAAAAATATATTTTATGTCTTTAGAATTTAAACCTCTGTGGACGGATACAGCAATAGCTATCGGCGTACATACTGGCTCGTGTGCGCACGCTATGCATTCTAGCTGTTGGCAAAAGTACGCATTGTAGTTAAATTGCTGGCGCCAATTATATTCTAAATTGTTATCTTTTCGTCTTTAGTTATTTTGTTGCAACAGTTGACAGGCAGCAAATTAGGAGATTTAACGCAAGAGCTCCACCTAGTATCAATGTTACTAAAGGCGAATATTTATGCCCGTTATGCGAGGGCTTATGCAATTGTGCCATACCTATTTTACCTCCCTTACCCTACTTCATCAAGTAAATCTAGAATCTGGCTATGGTAAAGTACTTAGAACATTCTTAGGCATCTAATAATATTAATTTTTTATGTTACTATATTTAGTAATGACAACATGAAGGAATATCCGAAATGGCTTGAAGATCTCCGTGTACATACGATAAATGAGCTGCAAAATATTAGAGGACATACAGGATCAAATGCAGGTGAGTAATTCTTTGTTGCTGCAACTGCTTAATACGCGATATCATTGTCGAAAGTACCAATTTTTAGCTATAAAAGTTTACTAAATTGTCATAATTTTACTAGCGATGATAGATTCGTCAATATCCTTATTTACTCCGCTGGACCTTCTAAATCGAAAATCTTCTCCGGAATTAAATCAGTTAAGGTACATTGTTAAGCTGACTGTAAATTTCGTCGTATCGATATTGTTTTTAAGGCTATAGTAACATGTATATCCCATTTAAATTGACATTGCAGGTACGAATTACCGGAAGCTGCTATCGAGGCAATTAAGGCATTCTCTCAATCAGTTTATACCGTGAGTACTACTATAACGTTTATTGTATGCAAAGATAACTTTCCAAAATCTATCGACAAGTTGTCCTACCAAGGCGCGGAAAGTTCCAACGGCTAAGACGTAAAAACTTTCTTTATATTGTAGTCTGGCTTGCTTGCTAAACCATGTGCCGATAATGAACGTATACTTTATGCGCTATGGAGTTCATGTGCTTATTGCATTGGTGTCGCAGGTTAGATGAATCTTTGCAATGCGATGAAGAAATAGACATACGTAGCTATACTAGTAATGCACTTTTATCACTGAACTATTTTCGTTTTCTCTGCAGTAAACTTTTTATCATTTAGATCAAAATCTGTAGAAGAAGGACTCACCACTAGACAGGTATAATAAGCTATTTATCTAGTAAAATATTGTGATATCAGTGAAAACTAATTATTTATCCATATGAATTAAGATTTCAAGCATGTCTGCACTGTTGAGAGCAGCTGTTGCCTATACGTCAGTTAATTCGATCAGGTTTCAGACGTGGAAAACTTTACACAACCATATTCTTAGTGGTAAATATCATCTCCAACAAAAAATGTTGGGTTCAATTTATGATATGAACTATTCAGAACTAAAAGCGTTAAGTCAATACATTGACCGTGTTACTTTTACATTGACAGTTACTATTGGCTATGAAGTTGAAGGTGTACCATCTGTGTTGAATTTGGATCCATTTCATTTAATGGCACGTATTTTTTTTTGTAAAGGTTACATGGAAATGTCTGCATGTGTGATAATGTTATCGTTTGTGTTTCTTGTTCTATCACTAGGTAAATTTAATCTTTTCGCTGCAAGCATTGAGTGATAGCCCTGGAATAGTTGCTTTTGGTACAGATCCTGTTATGCATCACTACTGTTTAAAAATTGCATTTATGCTAAAAATTACTCAATCTCTGTTAGCGATAACTGACATTGATGGTTAGTAAGTTGAACTGTTAAATTGGTTTCTTGTTTGTATTTGACTTCTTAAGTTCATCAGCCTATTTTTTGTAAAATTTTTTAAGACTAAAATGTAATAGAGGCTTTTAAAATTATATATTATAGTTTCTTCAGAAAATGACGAGAGCAGTGACGATGACTCATCATTTTTAGTACAATATTGGCAATTCTTACAGATGCATACTGGGTAAGTCGCTTATTTTATTTAGACTAGCAATTTTCCTAACTATGTATCGAAAAAAGTAGTAAATAATCCACGTATCTTTATTATCCATGCAGTAAAGGAGCGATCTCCTTTCCATATTCAGCTTCGATTACCTTATGCAGAAAAGTCAAAGAAGTATGCTTACCATTTCTTCGCATGGCCTCATTATTTTTTCATCTAATAACTTCAGTACCAGTACCAAAATTTGATCTCGATGGTATGTATCGGTCTTAATGTTCTAGGAAGATGACAGTATAAAATATAACTTTAACTATTATTTGTAGCTGCTCAAGAATATAGTCATCTGCTAAAGTATCTCGATCTTCCGGCAAAATTATCAACGCTACTTGACTTATCTAACTCTGAAATATCAGGACTTGTCATAAGGTAATGTGTATAACTTGTAATAAAACTTTTGACGTTATCTTTAAAAGTAGCCGCTTACGTATTTTTAAAAAATTACTTTTCAGATGGTGTAATACAAAAAATGTAATTCTTCCTATCAGGTTAGGAAAGAAAGTTGTCTCTTTATTACTATTTCTTTATTGAAATCACAATTTAATGATGTAAATACAATTATATGTTTAATATAGAGAATTATCTCCATGTTCTACGTTAATCAATTTACCTCGCAATTACGGAGAACTAATCTGTGGGACAGCCAATTATAGGTTAACTTTCTATTCTATTATAGCTAAAGTATGCTGAATAACTTGTAATTTATTGCTCAATGTTATTATTTTTGATACTTGTAGATGTAGCAACTCCAAAGCAAGTTTGAATTCATCTCCTGCAATGTGTTTAATTTGTGGCAAACTTGTATGTGCACAAAATTACTGCTGCCAAGGGACTCTTGGAGATGACAAGGTTGGGTCGATTACTAGCCATATTTATGAATGCGGCGCCGGAGTTGGAATATTGTTGTTTGTGAGGGAATGTCGCATCATTCTGAGATTTGGCCAACGTAGGGGCTGTTTTTACTCACCGCCTTATTTAGATGAGCATGGCGAAACTGATGAAGGATTAAGGTATTGTTAATGACTCATTATTGTTACTAGACTAAGTCAATCAATCAAATGAATAGTACGACTGGGTATGGTATTTACTATATACTTATCGTTACTGAATATTTTGCTGTTAAGACGTGGTAATCCTCTCTTCTTGGATGACGAACGGTATAGCAAATTACAAAACATGTGGCTATTACACGAGGTATCTGGAGAAGTTGTTCGCAATATGGAACATAATACACGTCACGCCGCTTATATCGATTGGAGTAATATGTAGTATTTCTTTAATCGTCTGAAACTTGTGGAATTTATGAATGCAGGTTTTGTTTCTGTAATAGCTTTGTTCGATAATAAGTTCTCTGTACTATGGTATATTATATTTTATACATACTTATTCTATATATATATACTCGTATATAGGCAGATTGTTAAAGTACCGATTGTATTTCTGTATACTGCTTGCAATAGTACACAAGCTATGATTATGGAAATTATAGAATTGCTTTTCCACAAAGATCCAGTGGGTTAATGACATAATTTGAATAGTAGCATACCTTCATTTATCAAAACCATTCTGGTATTAAGAATGACATACTTTCCGCTTTGTGTACAAACGAATTTTGTTACATTTTGTTAACAGCACTATACGCGTACGTAGTACCGGACTTTATATCATTTTTCTTGTATTGCAGTTTACACTTTCTACGCTCTGTTTACATTATGGTCATTAGAATCTTGATAGATTTAAGTATCCTACTTGCGCTATAAATAACGTACAATTAAATAATCAATTGCGATTGAATTGATTGTACTATGTACAGTATCCTAAGATTGCATCTAATTTTAGTATTGTTAGGGTTGAAGGTATTCCTAGGCAAGCATACGCTTAGAATACTCATATAACAAATTAAGCAATTCTGTTAATATTTCCCGCCAAGATATTAGTTGTGTATAACGTATTAACTATAGTTACGATTTAAGCTTGGATTGAATCTATAGAATACGCAGCGATAGTATACTTCATGCAGTAGTTTAAAGTGCAAAAGTTGCTCTGTCTTTATATAACAAATGGAATTGTGTTTTTCCTTTATCCATGTTATTGATTCATTGATAACGGACCATTTAGCATTTTACACATCCATAAAATACTATGAAGTAAATAAATTGTGAATGCTATCGTATTATTATTGTAAGTAATGATGCTGTAATTAACGAGATTGTATTGTTAGTAACAGGTCATATTGGGCCTAACGGGTTTCTCAGTTTTACCCAATAAATTTATTTTTATTTCATTGATAGTAACTGCGGAGCAAGCACACATTGCAATCGATTTTCTATCCTTTCATCCTCAAGCGTAATTTAAATATCATGTTGTTTGAAAGGGTTGCTATTTTATTCTATCACCTACAGTTGTGTATGCCGGGAATATTTGTATTTTATAGAAATAGATGTTCTACATATTGCAGGAGCGACAAGTTAGTTACAATACCATGATAACCGTAGTCAATTTTCCGATTTTCCTTCTTCGCTCATATACTCGTATAAGTGTTCAGAACTGGTCGATGACGAGTAATCTGCCTTAATACATAGACTCCTCGACTCTAGTGTGAAGAAAGAGATGATTTCATTGAAGTTGTGCGCGACTTTCTATACCTTACTTATGTATACCAGTAACACTTCTATTTCGTTAGAATATCATTATAAGGGGATGCTCGATTCTATAATTGTCTTATTTTACTTAATTAAGTAATATTTCACGTTATCAATGTTCTTGAAGGAGTAGAAGTGATTACGAAATATTGACACAGAAGATTTGATACTGACTGGAAGTAACTTAATTTTCGAAATTTCTACCCATTTGATCGAAAAGTCTGTCCGTCTGAGAGTTTCCTTCTACAGTCGTGCATTATGTCTATTGTAAGGGTCAGAGCAGGGACTACTCGACCTATATCATGGATCTCTCGAATCGAGGGATTCTACAGGTCCATGCCCATATTCACTCACTTTCACCCCGTTACAGTCCTCCTCAGACAAAATTGGATTTTCAACTGTTTTGCCTCTTCCCTACCTTAGTCAAAATTCAGCCGATTTTCTAGTAAAAAAGAAAGCCATAGCATGACCAATTGGCCATAAACACTGCTATTTAGTTGTCCAAGGTAGTGTACAGCGACAGGACCAGTACAGAACCACTTCATTGCGTCTAGCCATTTGTCCTGACGTCCTGACTTCCGTCAACTTGAGTGTAAAAGAGAGAAGAGTAGTACCAGTACAGTACCAGATCCGTCCCAGTACAGGACCAGTACAGAACCACTTCATTGCGTCTAGCCGCTTGTCCTGACGTCCTGACTTCCGTAAACTTGGGTGTAAAAGAGGGAAGTGTAGTACCAGTACAGTACCAGTACAGTACCAGTACATGGCAGCTTGCCGCTTGTCCTAACTTTCGTCAACTTGAGTGTAAAAACAGAGGAAGAGAAAATCTTTCATACAGAGTGCTGGACGCTACCGCGTACATCAGTAGTAGCCCTTACATAACTTTAGGGGTCAGCAGAGGTTGACGTTGAAGCAGCATGTGCTTGCTGGTCCGGTCTGCCCACATGCGTAGACAGCCCCCCCACGATCCACTTCCAAGCCATACTGTAGCCTATAGTTGTAATCACCGCGGAAGGGTGGCACTATTAAGGCGCGGCGACCTCATCTGGCGTTCTTGCATACTAGGTCTCGAGGTCTAGCAAACTGATTTGCTTCGCCATTCATTCAATTTTGTCTTTCCACTGTAGTCTAGGCTAAAATCTTGATTGATTCTCCATTTTTATCGACTACCAACACATTGGACAAGGTGCAATACAACCCAATTTATGTGATACCCTGGTAATCCATTGAAATCAAGTACGAAATTGGGGTTCAATTGGACCTGACTGCAGTGAACAGAATTCTCGGACAGAGGCAAAATGGATCAAATTCGAAATGTCATCGTTGGCCCTTGCGGCGATTCTGCATTTGTTAAACCACGTAGATTAACATTTGAACAAGTAAGTGAGGACTGCTTCCATGACCAAAATAATTGAAAATCGAGAACAAGTTGTGTATAGGCTTGTCACGTTTAGTTGTGTAGCCGTTGATGTTGTTGATGTTCTGGATATTGACGCTGGAGGAGGAGGATGATGAATTTGGTTAGTATCGAAAATACGCCTAATGTTGGTGCCACCAACATATTACTTGTACGAGATGGTCGAAAAAATGGCCTACAGCAGAGCTCCATTTACTGTAGTAATATTGTGCCACTCTCTTCCACTTTACTGAACTAATTTGATTTCGTACCTGACTTGAATCGTGTCAAAGGATAGGAGATCCATGATGTTGATTGGGAATACTGTACTTGCACCCGCCTGGGCATCACCATCAAAAATCAAAAGCTGGCTAGTCGATATACACTGCACTCTCAGGTCTCAACCATGACTTGTACTGTTTACAAGGACTCTTGATTTGATGCTTGTGGAATAAATGACTTGTAGGACATGCAATCATGTTGTTTTCCATCTTATAGTACACGTTTATCCACATTCCTTGCTGTATAAAAGAGTTTTCACGTTGATCCTGTGGAGCTTTTTAGTCTAGCAATTCTCCATGCATACGCTTGGCATGATTTGCATGTTAAATTAGATACTCAACGCTCTCAGTTTTACAGTATACGGCCGGAATAAATGACTTGTGGGACGTAGAATCACCTTTTTTCCATCTTATTTTTCACGTTATCTACTTTCCTTGTTGTGTAGAAGAGTTCTCCGTTTGATACGGTAAAAGTTTTTTGTAGAGCAATTCTATATACAAGACGTACAATCACGTTTTTACCACCTTATTTTCCATGTCGTCAACTTAGCTGTCGAGAAGAGCTCTCTCACTTTGATGCTCGTAGAATGAATGATTTGAACGACGTGCAATCACGCTTTTCCACCTTATTTTTCATGTCATCAACTTTCCTTAAGAGCTCTCAGTTTGATGCTTATGGAATAAGTCAAGAAGTCAAAAGTATACGCGTGTATTACGCCATCCAATTTGGTAAATGCTGTAAAGAGAGAAATAACGCTAATCCTCTTCTAGATAGGCTAAGCGATATGTTATAGACGATATACACCGCCATTGTTATGCCACAATATTTGCATTTATATGCGTCAATATATTTCATCATAACACATCCATTCTAGGGTAATAGCCGTCAGGAATCCATGAATGTCTTTATACTTACATAAATAATTTTATACTTTTCTTGTAGAACGGAAGGAAAAGGCAATGGGATTATATCATTATGCACGACAGGTAGGGTCCAAAATTTCATTACAGTATATGGAAACAATCATAGATTAACTCAGTTAAGCCTTATACTTTATAGGATAAAAAGGAGATTATTTTTAAAATTTCATCGAGAAACACTTTTTGTTTCTTAAACTTGCATGCGATCTTGACTAGAACAAGGTCAAATTAGATTCTTTACTAAATCAGTAACATTTTTATCTCGTTATATGCATAGCGTTATAATAGAATGCTTGAAAATGTTGTAATTTTGGCTAGCATGACTTAGCCATGACATAGATCTGAAAATTATACGAAGATGTATTCGTATTGTGTGTCATTATATATACAATGATAAGAAGATAATTGCTAATGGCTATTTTCTTGATTACTACCTTAATATAAACTGGTCAGCGTATCCATCCTGCTGTTGAATACTACCAGACAAGCTTTTATTTTGGTGAAACAATTGAGACCAGGTAATGTATAATACGGTCTTTATAAGTTAAATATTGGATGCGCAGCTTAGTTAAAATTCAGTTCTGGATCGTTTTTAACACATTGATGTTGCAGCGATACTGTAGAACCTACAGTAGTTCCTGGTAATTCCTTCATGTTAATATTATACTTACTAGTTGAAACCTCTGATCTTGATACTTCGCATTAATCATGCTCGTTAATAAGCAAATTTAAACTATTTGACATTGATATCATGGAAGTTAGTGTTTTAAGTTAATGATAGGGCTGTCTTGATGAACCATTCGATACATTAGCAGTTGTCAAGACTGTAATTGTTAAGCATTTCAACGATTTGACTGTAAAATGCCGCAAGGTAGTATAATATTTATAATAGTTCTGCCATTAAGCAAACAAATTAATTCATTACAAACCATCAACAAAGTTTTAATTACTGTAATTGACATTCATATTTCACAAGTAATACCATATCATCACTGCATTAACAAACAAAGTGATACCGTAGCAGTCATCAATAACATGATCAACTTTTAATTACTTGACATTCTATCTCGTAATGCATAGCATGATGATAATGAGCCATTGAGCACCTTAATGGTCACCTTTAAATAATATTCTTGTTACCGTATAATGTTAATATCTCATAAATTAATGCATGATGGAACCGTCATTGATAACAAACTGCAGCCGAACCCATAAAATGATTAACCCTTTGACACCGTTATCTCGTAAGATAATAGCATGATATATTGCAACGTTGAATAAATTGATACTCTAGAATCAGTAGCATGCCTAGGAATTGTTAGTAATCAATTTACCTTTCAATATCATCCCAATAGCCACGCATTTATTTAAGAAATTGCAATTTTCTTGATAATTTCCATTAGTCCTCTTTCCATATCTACATGGAGACGAGATACCATCGCTCTTAAATGACAAAGATGCCCAACCGAGACGTGAATTGCCAATGGAAATAGCTAATAATGCTATTACTTATGAATTATGTTCTGGTATTGTCGATAAAGATAAATCACTAGTTAAAATTGCGCAAGATGAGATTCTCGAAGAATGCGGTTACTTCATCCCTGAAGATAAAATTCATCGGATTACTTCCGGTCGTCGTGTTGGCACTTCGGGTTGTAAGCAAACATACTTTTACGCAGAATGTACAGACGATATGATAGTTAGTTCTGGTGGCGGTGTTGAAGCTGAAGGTGAAATGATTGATGTTTATTATTTACCCATAGATGAAGCTAGAGAGTTTATTTTCGATGATAGTCTAATTAAGCCAGCTGGTTTAATCATGGCATTTCTATGGTTTTTTCAGTATTCACCAAATTTGAATGGTATTAATGACTTTGTTAATGCTAAAAATAAGTAGCGTATGCATATTGAAACCCTTTATGGTGTATCATTGTAATTACAATTCAACATTAGACTGATGTACTTATTCTAATGCAATTAACTGTGCAACGATCTACATTTATAAAAGTATAGAAAAAATTGCGATATAATTTGAATATGTTTACGGTTAGGTTCCAAGTTCAACAGATATCATTGTCTAATTGTATATCACTAGTCCTGTAGTTAAATGACTTTATTATATTTATTTCGATTTGGTAACTAATAACTGAAATGAGAGCTGCTTGCTGTAATTGTCTTAAGAATAAGCTATTATCAAACCTTGTAAGTTCCTAACGAAATATTCAATTCATACAATGCTTATAGTGATGCAAAATATATTCTTAATGTATTGCTGATTTAGGATTTATTTGTTTCAGCTAAAATCAGAAGACTACTGTACTTGCGTTTCCATTTGTTATGGACTACATCTTATTTGTAGCTTTATATCAAATTTTCATTTTAGATTTGCTACTGTTATAATAATTAAGCAAAGCAGTCGATGTTGAGTTAGATGCATACGTGTTCTTGTATATAATTTCTTATTTAAATATATTCTGATTAATTATTATTATCAATTTTTACGCTAAACGTTAGCTGTCTGATATATTGCGGTCTAAGCGGTATAAAATCCATACTACTAGCATTAACTATAATTTACATCAGTAGGCAGAATCATTTCACTTTAAACAATTTATTTCGGAATTTTATATGAAAATTGATTATGATTACGTTGATAGCATACTGTATCATGATTGTCTTATTTGCAAATTGGATTAAAAAAGATAGCAATCAAGTTAAGTCATAAATAACGGACGACTATCGACTTTAATTTGTCAGTAATAACGTGGGAAGATCACCCTATGATAACTATATATTTCATTATTTGTAGTTTATTCTTGCATGCTCTATTTCATTGCTGATTGGATTTACAAAGGTCAGTTATTACGTTATCGCTAATAAAGTATAAGCAGTAATGATTATATTGATACTGAGAGTTTTTAAGTTATTACATTTACTAGATATTGTTAAAAGTCATGCAGTAAATGAAGTTGATACCTGGATCTGTAAGATATACTAAAACGATACTCATGGCTTAATTAACCGATCACTCACGATATTAGCAAGGATCAATTTAAACATAGTTAGGAATTTAACTATTAATAATTTCTAGTCTAAATAAATATAACTGCCAAAACAGTACGATAAGATAGTATTTGGTAACCATAGACGATTTAAATTATGCATTCTATTGGCATTGTTAATAAATAGTTTATCGATCATTTCCTAATTGAAATCAATCCGGAAAATATAGTATAACTAGCAATACTCATGCAGGGTAACTACAATTCAAGCAAGGAATTCAACAGTTATTTGCCAATCCTTCCGTAATGGTTGCGATCAAGTATTTCATGAATATTTTACAATAAAACCATAACCGACTTGTGCTCCTTGCCATGGTCAATCAAGATGAAATGAAGACTAGAAAGAAATTTCTAGTATAATAGTAGCTTAATGATAAAGAACATTTATAGGGAAAATTATAATAGATTTACATCTCTACCTAGTATGTTTTATATATCTTATAGTATCGATACAACAACATTCATATCTTGGATTTTAATTTTAAACATTTCTATAAGGCAGTTACATAATAGTATTTACAATACATGCAACAATTATATTATATACCTTGATTGTAAAAATTGTTTAATATTTACTCTGAGAGGAAATAGCTAATAGATAGTCTATACAGATAAATGAAACATTCATTAGTTGTTTATATATATATATAATTATGATTCATGTTTTATATACAAATATTCGTTAGAAAACACCATCAAGCGTATGCGTAAGCTAAAACTATAAGTAACAAATTTCATCAGAAAATACCGCTTTCTGTTCCGGATAAGACTACAAATTTAATTCAATGGTTAAGTATAATTTGTTAATCGTTCGTATATATGGTCATCTTGCTCGTTACGTTGATTAACTGTTGCTTGGTGAGTTTGAGAATTGCGTCGGCTATTAGATGGTCGGTAATACAGGGAATCATAAACATGTACCGATGAATCATCCGTTTGATCAAAGTTCGGATTAATATAAGCACCTGAAGAATCTTCCTTTAGTTCAAACTCCATAATAGAATCTACATCCCCTTCCTCAGAACTAACCGATATTCGGAATTCGTTGGATCTTGTAGTAGCGTTTGAGACTGTATTATCATCTTCATCTGAATCGGATTCAAGGTGTTGATATTCACCATGAAGTGAAAAAATTGGATTACGATAAGGTTGAATCTTTTCCCGATCATGATTAACTCTACGTTTACGAAAGAGTAAGCTTTTAAACGTCATTTTTCGTCTTCTGTGGACACAAGTATAATAGGTTGCTAGTAACGCAATGAGTATACTCCCACCCAGTCCAAAGATAATGAAAAGCATGATGGAATGGGATTCTATTTCCAGAAAGCGGAAGGAAATAGTGTAAATTACTATTCTTAAGTACTGAAGCTATTTAGAATTTGATCATACTATTACCTCCTTTCTCTTATATGAAATTTACTAGGTTAATGTATAGAAATAAAATAATTTTAAAGTTTACTACATGCATGCTACTACAGTAAATTAAGTTAGTGCTTATTTTACTTTCAAATCATTTTTCTCCTAGGATAACGACATGCGATGATTTTGTCAATGTTGAAATATTTTCGTTAACGTACCTTGGCCAGTGTGTTTTAGCGTACCAATAGATGATAGGCTCAATGACTTAGATGCAGAAGTGGAAAATAAACCTGTTTGAAGAATTTTAACATTATTATAAATGTTACTAAGAAATAAATGTAATTAAAATAGTTAGAACTATCACGGTACAAACGGTAAACATCGTCTACCTTTAACTTTAAATGAATAGGTTGCATAATGAACGAAATATTACGGCTATATCTTAACGAAGAAACCGTTTCTCTCAATATCATAGACAAGCTACTACATAATATTAATGAAAAGATTTTCTAAATTTATCTGTATCTAAACTTTAAAATATTAATTAAGGATGATTATATTTTTATTTTAGTGTTAAATAGATCTAGTTATATAAGCTAATCTTTCTCTCTTTTTATTTAGTTACCATATTTAACACGTATTGCAAGATAACGTTTACTAAATTATTCTAATTTCTATAAATACAGCATTTTAGATACGTGTATATTCTCTTTAATTTTCTTGTGCCTTCTTTTGACTATAACAAACGTAAATAATATTTGCCTCATTCTAATTTTATATAGATGCGCTACAGTACAGTAGATATATTACTTACAGTATTTGCATACGCTAGTTTGATTATAAATATTGCAATATGAAGGTCAAATTACATTCTAATATTAAATGCCGCTACTAAATCATTTATCCAAATTCTCTACGTCTACATGTAATTGTAAAATAATAAGTATGCTCATTTTATTATGAAAGATTGATCAAGATATACTTGCCATACTGTAATTTTCAGTAACGTAATTAGGTATTCGTCTCATATCTCTACATAAGTTTAATTGTATCTTATGCCAGGACATGTTTATCCGTTCTATGTATTACTAGATATTTTATGGCAATTTTTGTTTATGTAATTGCATCTTTGCAGAACTTAGTAGCACTCAGAACTATAAAATAATTTCTATAGAAACTAACCTTGCTGGCATAATTCTCCAATGTATCCATCGCGACATTGGCAAGTATAGTTACTTTTACCCTCTAAGCAAGTTCCACCGTTGCTACACGGATTTGGATCACATCTTTTTATTGCTGTTAAAAATGAAAACAGTTTAACAAATGTAAGATTCAATTTGTAGCTAGTGATTCCAACAGTTCACAAGAAGAATTTAATTGGTATATGAATACAAAAAAAACAAATATGTAATCTCATACCTCTTTGACATAACAGCCCCGTATAACCGGGATCGCAGTTACATTTATATCCATCTGTAAGGCTAATGCAAGTACCATAATCACCACATGCCAATGAAGGAATCAGCATGGTGCCATTAGATGTAGAACAATAATCAATTCCTATATTTCAAGTACGAAACAACAGAAATAAAAGTTAGCTATTAAGCTTGGCAATTAATAAATTGATCGTTAAAAACAAATGGATATGGAATAGTTAAAAAGGACTAACTTTGTTCACAAAATCGGCTAGTAAATTCTTCTGTACATTTGCAGATATAACCGTTAAACTCATCTATACAACTAGCACCATTTTGGCATTGATTTGCAAGACACTCGTCAACTTCAAGGCTGCAATCATTTGTTGTCCAGCCAGGTGGGCAATGGCATGTATAACCATTAATTTCATCACGGCATGTAGCATTATTAAAGCATGGCATTGAAGAACATTCGTTCATATTAATTTGGCAATGAACACCAGTATAACCCAATCGACATGAACACTGATATTGGTTGATTAAGTTATGACAAGTTGCACCATGTTGGCAAGGTTGATTGGCTACTTGGCATTCATCAATATCAGTTTGACAATGGCTTCCAGTAAATCCAGGCCTAAATATGATTTAATTAATTATACAATGCAGTATTATCCATTATAAACAAGTTTTATTGGAAATGGGCTTCAATTTTTTGGTACGATCTACAACTTTCTCAGTAATTTAATGCCATCCATTACAAATTTACATAATTTAGCACACTGTTAAGTCTGACTAAATCTATTCTCATTGCAATATGTATCCTATGCAATATTATGTGCTATACGGCAATGTTAAATAATACATAAGTTGTTCCTATTTTGTGGTCTAATTTACCTGCATTGGCAATGATAACCATTAATGGAATCATTACATGTGGCATAATTGAGACATGGGTTGGATTGACATTCGTTGATTTCCAACTGGCAACGAATACCGTGGTAGCCAGATTGGCAATGGCATTGATAGCCATCAACTAAATCAGTGCAATTACCGTTATGAAGACAAGGTTGACTAAGGCATTGATTAATGTTGGTCTCGCAATGGAGACCAGTAAAATCTTGATGGCATAAGCAATGGTAACTGTCAACATTGTCCATACATGTGCCTTGATTTAAGCAAGGTTGGCTGTGACATTCATTGATATTAATTTCGCAGTGTCGACCAGTAAAGCCAGATTGACATTGGCAAGAATAATTTGCTTGCAAATCGTGGCATTTGCCACCATTTAAGCAATAATTATCTTCATGAAGACATTCATTAATATCATTTTGGCATTGATTACCAACATAACCAGGTTGGCATTGGCATTGATAGCCGTTAATTAAATCGACGCATTGGCCACCATGTTGACATGGTAAAGATGCACATTCGTTAATATTAACTTGACAGTTTCGATCGATAAAACCACGCTGGCAACGACAAATATATTGGCGGATTAAATCTTCACATTGGCCGTGAACACAAGGTGAACTTAAGCATTCATTAATTTCATTTTGACAGCGTTGACCTTGATAACCAGTTCCATTACAATCACATCGATATTGATTAATGCCTTGATAGCATAATCCACGATGTAAACATGGTGAACTTTGGCATTCATCAATATCATGTTGGCATTGCTTACCATCGTAACCTAATGGACACTGGCAGCTATAATCAGCTAATAAATCTTGGCAATGGCCACCATTTTGGCAAGGTCGGCTTTGGCATTCATCTATTTCAACATGGCAATTTCTACCGGTATAACCAGGTCGGCAATGGCACTGATAGGAATGAATGCCATCAATGCAAATACCTCCATTTTGACATGGTTTGCTATGACATTCGTTAATGTTGATTTGGCAGTCAGATCCATTATAACCAGGCTGGCATTGGCAATGGTATCCTTGAGCAAGATCACTACATATACCACTGTGTTGGCATGGTGCATCAGCACAACTATCGATACAAGATTTGCCTTTAATACCCCTAGGGCAATCGCATTGATAATCATCTACTAAATCGCTACATTTTGCATTAGAATGGCATGGATTAGGTGTACAATCGTCAATATTAATTTGGCAATTTTTGCCTGTATAACCTGCTTGGCATATGCATTGATATTGATTCAATAAATTTAAGCAAGTACCATTATGATGGCAGGTATGATATTGACATTCATCAATATCACTTTGGCAGTGGATACCTGTATAGCCAGGTTTGCATAAGCATCGATATTGATTGATTTGATCGATACATTGGCTATTATGGAGACATGGAGAGCTAGCGCATTCATCGATATTAATTTGACAATTTTGACCCATAAATCCAGCTGGACATTGGCATTGATATTGATTCACTAAATCTCGACATTGACCACCATGATAACATGGTACTGATTGGCATTCATTGATATCACTTTGGCAACTATTACCTGTAAATCCTGGCCTACAATAGCATTGATAGCCATTTAACTGATCTTGGCATGTGCCATTATTTAAGCATGGTGAACTTGCACATTCATTAATTTCAGTTTGGCATGATTTACCCGTATAACCTGATTGGCATGAGCAATGATAATCATTTACTAAATCACTGCAATTGCCATGAATGCATGGCGCTGAAAAACATTCATCGTGATTGATTTGGCAATTGAATCCGCCATAACCTGGTTGGCATGAGCATCGATATGAATTCGCTAAATCATGGCACGTTGCTCCATGTTGACAAGGCTGAGAGCCGCACTCATTAATATCCAGCTCACATTTTTTACCTGTATAACCTTTTGCACATGCACATTGATAAAAGTTGAATTGATTGATGCAGATTGCATTATTTTGGCATGGATTACTGGTACATTCGTTGATATCTATATTACAACTTCGACCTTTTACTCCATCTGGACAATTGCAAGTGAAGTTATTAATTTCATCCTATGTATGGATAAAGATAAGAAATTTTATTAAGTTTGAGTCTTTCGGTTTATTTAAGGTGATCGCTTTCTTGTAGGTAGAGTAAGGCGCTCAAAGTATATCTTTATAACTGATTCAACTTCTACATTTAATCAGATGTAGGTTCATTTTTAACGACATTTTTTATCTGTTTGAGCAATAGTTTAAATGGTCTCAACTTTTAATAATCTAGTAACTATAGTTTTATGTAACAAGATATAGTTTTATAACGGTATTTTTGATCTGTTTAAGCTATAGTTCAATTAAATGATCTCACTTTTCAGCAATCTAGTAATAATGATTTTATGTTATAAGATATAGTTATATAGTTATAGTTCTATTTTTGGCAGTATTTTTGATCTGTTTAAGTTATTGTTTACATGAATTCATTCTTCAGTAATCTAGTAATGATAATTTTATATAAAAGAGATTATATACCTTACAAGTGCCATTATGATAGCAAGGATTAGGGGAGCAATCGTCGATATCTGTATTATTTTTTCAAATTGTGTTCAATATGAATTAATTAGAAACTCTAGAAAATCCATACGGTATGTATAGTCATACGTGATATTTAAGTTAGTAAAAATTTGACTCTGTAATATGTTGAATTTATTACAATCTTACTTGTTTCACAATAATATCCAGTAAATCCTTGCAGGCATTGGCAACGATAATCATCCAGCAAATCGATACATTTTGCATTATTCTTGCATCGATGCTTAAGGCAATCGTTAATATCTTAGGTTATAGGGAAGAAAAAATGAGTAAGATTCGTTTTTATAAATGATATAAAGTGGTAATAGACAATCATGGCGTATCCCTGACTAACGGAAACTGTTGTAAATCTCTTAATCTATATACTTACTTTTCTGGCAGTGATCACCTTGAAACCCACTTCCCGTACAGTTACACGTATAACCATTAATGCCATCAACACAATTTCCACCATTTAAGCAAGGAAATGATTGACATTCGTTTATGTTAATATGGCAATAAGTGTCATGAAATCCTGGCATGCAACTACATTGATAACCATGATTACCATCAACACATGTAGCATTATTCATACAAGGTTGGCTAGAACATTCATCAATATTAACTTGACAATGATGACCAGTAAATCCTGCAGGACAGTAACATTGATAGCTGTCGACTCCATCAATACAGGTGGCAGAATTTTGGCAAGGTGATGATTGACAGTTATTGATATTAGTCTCACAATGGATACCTGTAAATCCTCTCTTACAAGTGCAAGAATAAGACCCCATAGTATCGTGGCACTTTCCTTGATGATGACAGGTAGTTGGTGTACAATCGATAATGTCTAAATAATTTTTAGTAGATTAGTTAGTGTATAGCTTAGAAACACCAGCTATGGATAATGTAGAATAGATAATAACTTCAACGAAATATAATAGACATTGTCACCATTATATCCTTCACATACAAAATGATTTTACCTTCTTCGCAGTGGCTACCAGTAATTCCTACGGGACAATTGCAAGAGTAGCTACCAAATCGATTAATGCAAGTACCATTATGCATGCATGGATGTCGTAAACATTCATTAATATCTGAACGATAGTGCAGGATAATATTTTTAAGGCATGCTGAATTTTTCGTTTATTTATTGTAAATATTATTCTTACCTCCTCGACATCTTGATCCTGTTAATCCTTTTGGACATTGGCACTTATATGTATTCACTTGAGTATTGGTACATTTAGCATTATTTTCGCATGGAAAACTACGACATGGATTCATATCTAGAGTATAACAAATGGGAGGAAAATATAACTAACAGCATATAATGCTACTTACTGCCAAATAAATAGTTACTGTAACAACGTTATCCATGTATCTATTAATTAGTATTAACATATTACTATCAGCTGTAAGCTTATTAAAGATTTATATGTATACCTTTCATGCTACGATTGTTATATTAAATATGATAGAATTAATGAATTTATAAAATTGACATAAAAATGTTAAAATTATTTGGCTGGTATTTGGTATAGAACTAGTAATAATATCCTAATTATTCCTATAACCAATCATAGCATTTTCTCTTTAAAATAGAATCAGTATAGAATTTTAGGTTTTAATCCCATCTATAGGACAATATTTTAATATCAATTCGGGGAGGAGAGCATTCTATCATACAAACAATTTCAATCTTTATTAAGCGAAATCATATATAAAATTTCTTATTGAGTAGAGTTGATATCTTACCGTCGCTACAAGTCTTTCCTGTCCAAGATACTGGACATATGCAATGAAAATCATTTATTCTATCAATACACGTGCCATTATTCCCACAAGGATTGGATACACATTCATTAATATCTAAAGTTAAAAGAAGACACTCGTAAATAATGCTGAATACACGTATGACGGCTCTACCCACGAGGATGAAAAAGTTTGTCATGACATCGCTTATGAGAGAAGATTTAGCTATGGTACTTTACATTTGCATTATACTTAAATATGAGAATTACCATTCTGGCAACGTTGTCCTTCATATCCTTGAAGACACTGACATTTATAGAGATCTGGGCCATCATTTTGACAGCTTCCTTCATTAAAACATGGGCTTAAACGACATGAGTTCATATCTAATTTTAATAGACAAGGGTAATTGCAATTTAAGTGCAATAAATTCAACATAAATAACGATATTAAACATCAACTAGTCGCTAAATAGTATTTCACATTTTATTGCATGTAGACATAAATTTAATTCATTTGCTACATAAATTATTATTGCTCAAGGTTTAGCCTACAGTTAATTTTTGCATTCTTGTTACCTTTTTCGCAGTTTTCTCCCGTCCAATTAGCAGAACATGTACATTGATACTGTTCAATACCGACATTTGTACAAGATCCCCCATTTTTGCAAGGCGAGCTACGGCAACTATTTAGATCTATATATATATATATATACATTATCCAGGAGAGATTTCATACAAATTATTTCATAGATAAATAATTACTGACACGTGTAAACTTAAGCTTGCGATCAACTTCCAGTGAATGATTTATACAAGAGAAGACAATCAATTAGATTCATATTAAGACAATCACCTTGGTCGCAATGCTTTCCTGTCCAATCGGAAGGGCACAAGCATTGGTAATTATTAATTTTATCGATACATTTTGCGTAGATATGCTTGCAAGGATTTGACTTACAATCATCAATATCGACTATAAAATGTAATATAGGAAATTTTATCACGGTTAACCTGAAATTTACACTATTTATATCGACAGACTAGACACTGGATTAATTTGATACCACTTAGAGAAACTTACATGTCTCACAATACGATCCGGTATGATTACTAGGACACTGGCACTTAAAACTATCAGGACCGGTATTATCACACTTTCCACCATTTCTGCATGGGCTACTTTGACAGGAATTTAGATCTATATTTAATTATTTACGTTTTAGATTCGATCGATGTACGAGTCTAAAATCGGTGTAGTATAATAATTGCGAAAATACCCTATATGTTTACGCTAAGTCATCTGATATGAAATTGCTTTTATCATGGTTAAATTGTGATGTAAGAATACATGAAATGCCTGTATTAAACAACGTTATTCAATATAAGAGCGAATAAATGATCTCGTCCAAGAAGTACTAGAGTCTAAATCGGTATAGTATAACAATTATGAAAATATCTTGTATATTTAAAACTTTAGTAGAAGAAATATTTAAACTCACCACTATCACAGTTAATTCCTGTCCATTGATAAGTGCAATTACAATAATATTTATCTGGACCAGTATTGTTACAACTACCGTGTTTACAAGGTGAACTTCTACAAGAGTATAAATCTAAAGCATGATAGAATATCAGAGATATGTGAAATCATAAATGATAATAAATATATTGGCTTTAGCCATAATTTAGGCTAATTTAGAAATTGTTAAACATTTGGTAGATTGCACTGTATGAATATTGGGAATAATTGATCTAAACTTTTAAAAACTATAAAATTGGCCTATCTTACCTGATTGGCATTGTTTGCCTGTCCAGCCTGAAGGACAGTGGCAAGTATAGGATTGTATACCATCTACACAAGTTGAATAAACATGCTTGCATGGATTCGGATAGCAATCATCGATATCAACTGCAAATATAAATATCCATAATTGATGTGCTTAAGCTTTAAAGACGAGTACCGATTTCAATTTATCAAGGATATTATTAGTCTAACTGAAAGATTAAATACCAACATGTTTCACAAGTAGATCCTGTGTAATTGGTTAAGCAATTACAAGAAAACTGATCTGGCCCAGTATTAAAGCAAGTTCCTTGATGTTTACATGGATTACTTCTGCAGGTATTTAGATCTATTAATAGATTAATCAAGTTATTTTCTGCCATTATTTGATTGTACATATAATACTAATGCTAATAATAATCCTTTTCAGCCATCTTTATATTTGTATATAGTCTACCTAATTATCAATTATTAAAATTGCTGATTCTCACTCTTATGCCTAAATGAGTGCTGATCGATGCAACACCAATTCTATCTATCGCCTATAGTTAAACTTGTTAAGCCAATTTATTATATGAGTAAAGCAAAACCAATAACTGCTGGCTTGATGCAAAGAAATACTATATTAATTTTTTATAATTATTATTCTGATTTAATGTTCTTTCATCTATAGTAGTCATAATTCTTTCCTGCCAATCAGTGATATATTGTAAGTTTAGGAAATAAACGTATGTCCTTCAATTGGGATATGTAAGATAGTTTATTGAGATCGTAAATTTTCATCGTATATTCTTTACTGATACTGTAATACAGTTATAGATTCCAATTCTTTGCAGGACATTATAACATCTTCTATCTATCAATCGGTGTAGTTGCTATCCAGCATTTGGTAGTTGTAATTTTCTGAAATAATAACCTTGTTCGCAATGTTTTCCAGTCCAATCTGATGGACATAAACATTCATAACCATGAATTCTATCTAGGCATTTTGAACCCTGTCGATGACACGGATTTGAAGCACATTCATTGATATCTGCAGATAAAATATTTTCTCAAGATTTTTCCTAATTAACACTAATAATTATCTAGCTCAAATAGTAATCAACCTAGAATACCTGTCTGACAATGTTGGCCAGTAAAGCCAGCTCTACAAAGACACTTATACTGATTAGCCCCGTTATTATGGCAACTTCCGCCGTTATCGCAGGGTTCGTTTCTGCAAGCGTTGAGATCTAATTAAAGGAGAACCATCGCGTATAAGAATAACTCATAGTATTCTCTATCCAATTTATGATAAACAATAAGCTATCACATTTGTCGTAAACAAGTATTGCAGATTATTTATAAGCATATTGCATATCGGCCTGAATTTACGTCTCATGTAAAATTTCGAAATTGAAAATTATCTAAAAATCTGTATACATTAACGTGCATAACATACTGGTTAATATCCGTAACAAAATAATCTTAAACTTATTGTAAACATAGCATCCATTTTGAGCTACAAGGTGCTTTCAGCTTTCAACCTTTACAGTCTTTATAAGTAAGAGTATATTAAAACATTTCTTAAAGTATAATAAATATAAAATCCTATTACAAGACATTTGATATCCTTTAATTCTTTTGTCTACACCCAGGTTCGATTTTGTAGAATTTAATACTCTAACATAGTCAACTTTCCCACTGGATATGGATAGAGTAAACTGCTCACATTATCATTATATTTTTTTAAATTTAAAAATTAAAATCTGATTGCTATACATTCAATTTGAGCTACTTATTACCATTATGGCAATGTACGCCGGTGTAATTGGTAGCGCAAACACAACGATATCCATTAATATCATCGACGCAAGTAGAAAATCTGGAACATGGACCGGATGCACATTCATCAATTTCTGTCAATAATTACAAATTATCTAATTAGCGCCATACTAATGCTTTATAGACAAATTGGCAATGAATGAATACGATTTAGACTTGTATGAAATTAATTAGGATGATGATTAAGCTCCTAAAATCTAAATTAATCAAGGATATGTAATTGTCCTTTAGTCATACTTATAGTACAATTCTTTCCAGTATAACCCGGTTGACATTGACAACTGTAGCTGTCTCGTCCAGTGTTAGAGCAGGTAGCACTGTGCTTGCATGGATTATGGCGACAAAAATTTAAATCTAAATACAGGTATATTGACTTTGTTAAATCTCATAACAGAATTATTCCATTAATATTGACCGGATACTAGTAAATCATGATAGATTTTAAAGATAGCATAGGTGAAATTGAATATTGATGTAATTGAAATTGCATTTATAAATTCGATTTATATCTCCATGTTTTTATACAATGTGAATTTACCATGTTGGCATAAGTTCCCTGTTCTATCGTTAGGGCATAGGCAGCGAAAATGATTAACATTGTCTTGACACGTAGCGTAAGAAGGACATGGGCTTGAGGCACATTCATTAATATCTTCATTTATTAATTTAATAATAGTCATAAAGATTGCGTCAGATTATGAGCATTCTCTTCAATTAAACATAACTATTATCTAGTGCAGCAGAAATTTACCATATTGGATATGCTATAGTACCAATAAGATTTAAACGCTGACAGGAAAATTTCGTTTAAATATCAATGACAAAGCCAAGTGTAACTTACTTATGGAACAGTCTGAACCATTATGTCCAGGAAGGCAATTACATCGAAATTGATTGATACCAATGTTGAAGCAAGTTCCACCATTGCGACAAGGTAAACTTCGGCAGGAATTTAAATCTATCGACATTTAAAATAAATTAGGCAGGATATTATTGTTACAGAAACTTTCATTAAAATAGATCGATATTATAGATGCATGCACAACGACATTTTTAGTTTAGAATAAGTGCAACATGCTATTTCTAGAATTACTTTAATTTTGTGTTAATTAAACATCATAGGCAATTATATTTGAATTTTTATGAGTAGAATAAGATTTCTAAAATAAAATCTGAAATAATTTGCATTTCTAACTAGGAATAATTGCATACCTTGCTCACAGTGTCGACCAGTAAATGAATGGAAGCAAATACAAGTATATGCATCTGGTCCTGTATTGCGGCAAAATCCTCCATTTTGACATGGTGATTTTCGGCAGATATGAAGATCTGTTTTCAAGAAATAGAAAAATTAAGTCTCGACTTACTTGAAAAGCGATTTATCCTGCTTATTATTCATTATTACTGTATAAGATCTGTTTCAAGATATAGAAAAATAAGCCTAAAATTGATCTGATAATAATTGATTTTACATATTTTGCGTGCTGTTATACATATTGCTCGTTGTTACTGTTTTTTCAAAATGATACCCATTAGTTTTTACTTTAGCCGCTGTTGAAATAACTTTTAAATATATTAGACGAATCGTGTCTTAATCCATATGCTACTATAGCTGTAAACTTGATATCATTCATATCAAAAATAGGTAAAATGACGGATGTAATAGTAGAAATGCGAAAATTGATCTGAATGTGCAGTTATAGGAAAGAAATAATTCAACAAATATGGAAGCAACCTTTTTCACATCGAATTCCAGTCCAATCATTAGGACATTGGCATGTATAACCATTAATACCATCAATACAGGTTCCGCCAGAGAGACAAGGGCTAGATAAGCACTCATTAACATCTATATAGTGACATAAGTTCGTTATATTTAGAAAATATCCCAAAAAGCAGGAATGATATTGCTTATTAATAACTACATAAATATTCGATTTTGGCACTGCTACAACTTAAATACATTTTCAATAATCGAATATCCGTAAGTAACAAACATATTTATTCTAGATAGAGTAAATCTTTCAAATATAAAATAATAATACTGCATATTCGAATAGTGTGTATGGAACAGCAAAATATCAAGCTAAAAAAAAATGTATTTTGATATGATCATAAACGGATTTGATATAGCTTTTATGTATTTCTAGAGCTCCATCATGAACTATTTCAATGAGTACTATGGGAAAAAATACTTACTATTTTCGCAGTTTTTCCCCGTATATCCTGGAAGGCACGAACAAAAGTATTTATTTATACCTGTATTCATACAAGCAGCTCCATTTCGGCAAGGATTTGTTCGACACATCCTGTAATCTGTCAAGTAGATACAAGTTTATACGCAGGGATGGAATATAGTACTAGGGATGATGATGCAAAAATTTATTTCAAAAATACCATCTTGACATCTGCTGCCGCTATAACCATTAGCACATTGCATCTGGACCTTGATGCGAAAAATAGATTTGTAATTTATTGGTCGCTGACCGGTTAAGACAAATGTCTTGGTATGACCAGGTGAGACGTCAATATTATTATTAAATCTATCTAGGAGATCGTCTTGTCCATCAAAATAATCTTGATCATAGGCCGTGATATGAAGTCGAAATTTACCCTATCAGTAAATTCAATAACGTGAATAAAGTTTCTATTTGCATAGAGTAATCGAACGTTTAAAGCTATCATTCAACGAAATTGTTATCATTTTATACCGTCCAAGGCTCGTGAATTGGAAAGATAATTGGGTTTTTACGGCCACTATCAGTTAATTTTACATCCGATGGAAAATTGACATTTTCACTTCCATCAAACATAATGGTAGTAAAAGCTGCATATTGGCAGCCATATTGATTGGATTTACCGATACAAAAGTAAAAATAGTAATTACAAGCAGAGAATGTATCGCATTTCCCCCCAGTCCAATCTCTTTCGTGTTGATTGTAATACTTGAGCAAGTGGATTGTCACATAGCCACGAATTTCAGCTGACCAGACGATCTTAATACATCCCTAGGATAACATAATTGAAAGAATGGGAGAATGAGATATGTAACTTGGATGATAACTGAAATATAGATTGCGAAGAGCCAATGTTTCAGATAGAAAAATATTTATGCTGTACTAGCTTACATAATCATAGTGATGAAAAGTAAAAGAGAATAACACTCTAGTTAGCAAATAATGGGACACGAGACTGATGCGTACGTATACATGATCCGACTAAAATCCAAATTAAATGCAAAAATATTAGAATTTGGGGCTTTAGTGGGCTATGCCAGTACTTTAAGTATAATGTTAATTATACTAATAGATTTTATTGCTCTACGTAAATGTTTAATAATACGTAGTTTGGTTTTTTTTCTTTAGCAAATAGTCCTTCTTGAACTATAGGACTATGAGTACTCCTAATTCGAATTTTAGCGGTCTATTGTAAATAACAGCCGGGATTTGGGTTGCAGCTGTAACATATACAAGGTCTATAAAAGTAGCTACATGATTGAACAACTTTTAAATATTAAATTTTATTGGAGTTGTTTTGATAAATTAACAGCAACAGTCGTGTTTAGGGCCTAGCTGGATGTAAATATGCAGATACTTGTAGAAACATATTTGATATTTACGAAAAGCAAAACTGTACTAGATATACCGTACGACATTGCTAAATTATAAGGTAGTCTTCTTAAAATGTATTGATTCCAGTATTTCTAAATTAGCAATAACTACAGATCAACATTAAAGATCGTAAGCTAATACATAAAGTAATTTAAATATGGCATGTTATACCGGAACTATAATCCTCTTAAATGTCTTGATACTAGTATTACTGAATTAGCAACAGCTACAGATCAGTATTGAAGATCGTAAGCTAATATTTAAAGTGATTGATGATCTGTTACATACCTTTTTGAGCTTGAATGTTTAATAGATAATCTATAATTGACAACGGTATTCGTACCTTACTCGTACAGCTGAACGTGTGCATTGCTAATACTAACATAAACTGAATATTTTTACTAGATACTCGTACATATGGTATATTTTATATAGTAATTTTATAAAAATTTATTCTGAAATAGCTTTAAATCAACAATGCTGATTAGTAGGCTGTTGTATAAGACCTTGAATTTAGAGCTTATATTATCAACTAATATTATTTATGCGCTGGGCTATAATATTGGAATTTCATTAAAATTTTGACTATACTTTTAAATTGCATCAATTGTAAACTAGAATTAGTTTTATTAATAACTAATGTATTATATTGTGAAAATTATACAATCGTTACAACCATCTACTGTCATAATGAGGATAGATGTAGGCGATACAATTTTGTGGTTACTTTAGTTTGATAGAAGTTACTTTTATTTATCCGCATGTAGTGGAATAATAATTCTAAAATCTACCCTAATAAAATTTATTTTTCTATCCGCTAAGTATATGTTGTTGTTTTTTGGTTATAGTTAGCGCTTATAAAGGCCCTTTTGATTGATCCTTTTAAGCTACCTCAATTTTCAGGATAGAAATGAAGTGTTGCCGTTAGTTCTTGTATAAAATAATTTATACTTACGGAGTTGCATTGTTATTGATATAAATAATAAAATCAACATGAGCTTCCTACTAGGTTTACAGGAAAGTAATTCAATAAATATACAAGTACTGCTACAGCTAATAAATAAGTTGATACGGTGAAAAATCATGAAAGATCTTGATAAATGAATATGCATAGATGTTATAATTTATTCCGTTCTTTATGTAAGTTTAATTTGTAGGGATAGATCGAAGTGTGAAGGTCGAATGTCGATATATGAATTAATGTAAACTAAGTAAAAATTAACCATGTCCCACAATTGCAATCATCTGTTGCTAACATCTATGATAGACTTTTCTGAACAAAGAATACAATGACATTTTATGAATTAATTAATGTACTTAGGGAGGACATAGTTCTTTTCGAAATTAATAATGTTTATATTTTTATACTATAAGGTAATTGTATATGAAAAATCTTATAAAGCATATACACGTATATCAATATCAAACATACTTAGATTGGAGACTTTGAGTTAATTTTCATAAATACATACGTTATAATTTCAAGTTATAACAACTATTAACAAGTGCCAATAATATTGTTACATAAAACTATATAGTACTGAAATCATGCTACGTAGCTCACAAGTTAACCGAAAATGACATTTTCGGAAATTTAGTAATAAATATACATAAGTTACTCATCATGATGAAATTACTAAGCAAGAAATCTCCAAATATATTAACACAATATATCGAGTTATTCAGTTTAATCCTAGATATTGAATAAAGCATTTCCTATAATTGAGACAGATAGTAAAGGTGCTATTAATGCTATTTATAATAATTCCTACTTAGCAGTATAGAATACAAGTTGCCATTAAAATCAATCCCTTCTATTTTCGTTCTGTAATTAAATAGATGATCTCATCTAATCTCCTTGATATGCTAATAATTGATCAATCAACTGTGAAGTGATTATGATGATCTACAAGTATTTCTATTTTGAAATACAACTAGGTCAATCATAGATTACATCTATTTGATTTATCATACGAATGTAATTATAAATCTACACGTAATTTCTCAAGTTTGGTTCTTGTATAGTTAACTTGAGTCATGGCCAATTTCACATATTTTTTTTACCTTATTATTTAAGTAATCAATACTGGTCTTAATAAAGTACTAGGTAGATCTGTATTATCCAAGTCTTTATTGCCCTTAATATATAGTATAGCCCATATAGAAGATAAAGTAATGGACGTGGCACGAAACTAGATGATTTATTTTAAGGTTAAATTTGACTGCATAAGTTGCATTAAGAGTGGTTGGATCATATATGCAAGTCTCTATCTTTCTCAAAAAATGCTAGAGTCAATACTGTAGTAGTTAATTTCTGTGGGTTAAATCAGACTTTATCATACATGATTTTAGACACTAAAAGAAATATAATAGGCAGGTAGAAATGCTTTGGTAGCAAAATTTCCCATTAAATTGGATCTTGATGAGACAGCATAGATGAAAGAAGTACCGATCTACTTGATGTTTAATTTCTCACTATATTTCTAAAGATACTAGCTAACGAAGGTAAAATATTAAACAAGTGGGAATCGCGTAAGGATACATATTTCGGTTGAATTTAGTTTTGGTGGGATACATTGGGTAAAATTTTAGTTTCGTGTGAATTTTCATTTCAATAGAAACTTTAATCAATACCGAAGACATGATAGACAAGCAGTAATATTGTAGTAATTGATTTTATCATATAATTAACAAGACCTAGATGATATTAGTCTTGATCAATTTCAAATATGTTTACTTCCTTAAAATATGTCCAAGGAATACTAGATGTAGGCAGATACATATACGATATTACTGCAGTAGTTAACTTTCTTGCTAATCATGAAGTTTAGCTTGGCACATTAACAAACTAAACATATTCCCAAAATAGAACAACAAGGCAGATTGCATAGTAAACTAATGGATGGACGTAGTGCTTTCGTCAGTAAACGTAACTATCGCTAATAGTACTATCAACGCCGTATTTTGGCCATTGCTATTTATGCTAATAAATTATCACTCATAAGATCACGCTAACCTTAAAAGTTATCGCACTTTGATCGTATGATCAAGGTTAGATATAATGATCCTTACTAATACTACATATATATGTATAGTAGTTTACGATATTTGAAATAATTTAAAGTAGATATACAATAGACAGCAGCCTAACAGCAGCCTAACATAAGTTAATGACAGAAAAATGGTGTTCAAATTTTCAGTTTATGTATATATTTTACTTACTGAAAAGATTGTGATCCATATTAATAGTAACTTTAAGAACAGCATGATTTGTCCCTAGTAAGCGGGCAATAATCGCACGGACAAATATTTTGAAGCTGTGGATCGGAATGAAGATCATGCTAAGATATAGCCAAGAGTTTACCTGCCTATTTGCCAATATTATTATTTTTATTGGTCAAAAGAAATTCCTGTGGTGTTCATAAATATTTACATACCTAAATTTATTTATTAACATAAATATCCATATTATAATGAGATTCTAAAACTATCGTACCAGTGATAAATATTAGATTAGATCAATAGAAGGATCAAAATTATGTTATGATAGTTTCTATGTGACTGATTTGTTATGCTTAAGGTTAATAATTCTTGACGTATATTTTTTGTTACATTTTGTTTAAATGTAATTTTACTACCTTATCTCGACATCGATCAATAATTTTATGCGCGATATGTTATGAAAATCACTAAAAGAACTAAGAAGAACAACAATTTGTACAGAAAATGTCTTAAAGGGATTTTATTATCAAATGTTATATATGGGTATGCAATATTTTTGGTCTATGCGCATTCTGCCTGAGCAGTATGGAATTAGTTATTTCATATCATAAAAATGTTAATGTAACCATAAGAATTTGAATCTACCGCAAAATTAGAAAATTTAATTTGCTACTGCCTATAGTTATAATTATAATTAATTATGCAATTATATAGGGGAACTACTCTAATTATTCGATACATCATTACTTATTTATTATTACAAAGAAAACTAATTTTGATTTATTTATGGCTTTGAAACAAATTAAAATCAATGGTAGTAACTGCTAATACTGTACTTGTTAGCGCAATTAATGATCTACTGATCCGGTATTGGATACTTTCATGATTTACTATTATGCCGTGATAGTTTTCAGATATTCTAACTAACACTGCATCAAAATATAGATATACTATTAGAAGTGTGTAAATCTATAAGAACCCATCAAGATATGAAGCTGTTTAGTATATGTATTCTGCGTTCTTAAATTGCGCGCTTAAAATGGATAGCGACTAAATTGCTATAGAAAGAGTTTTTCTGAACTTGGTTGAATTAATCTTATTTCCTGAACTAAAACTAGTAGAAATCCTTTAAGCTCATTGCCACTGTATTTAAAAATTATTTGCAGTTCAGAATCTAATAATGGTAGAATGTGCTATGAGGAGAATATTGTAAGTCTATAATTTACCCTATTCGCTAGTTTTCAATCTATACAAACTTTATTTAAGAAAGCAAAACAGAATGTGCAACATATAAATGCTTACCTCTGGAAGTATAAAAGTTTATGAGACTATAATATGAGCAGTATCTTTTAACTTACTCACGAATAATTACTACAAGTAATGATAATATAGCAAATATTAGAGGATATAACAAAATATTTCCAGAGGCGGTTGTCGCCGAAAATATCCTGGATATTCATAATTTAAGGAAAGATAGAATAAATCCTATAATGTATTATTTTTATTATCTAGATATTCATGTTGGATTTGAAGAGTAAATTAAGTTAGCTATTTATTTAAAGAAATCATGTTCATGAGGAAAAGGTGTTGCTCAATTAGATTAAAAACTCTGTAGCTAACCCATCTACTTAGGTTCAGTCAATGTAGTCGATCATTGCAAATGCATTTGATTTTAGGGAAATAACTTACTGTATCATTTAAATAGGTGCCAAAGAAAGCGAAGGCTATTTCTTGATATGTGAATACTGTCTTGGTTTTGGGTCATAATATGACAGTAAGTGGGGATCTAGTTGATGATAAAGAAGTATACTATTTAGAAGATAAATCAAGAATCTCCAGGATGGATTGCCATATAACTTGAAATTATACGTAAGGCAACAACCCATAAGACACCAATTCTTGAAATATCTACTTCTGACTAAAATTCACGATAGTGGATAATACTATAAACAATCGTAGAGATGCAAAGATTTAAAGATTAAATGGAATATTTCGGGCTATAACAGTTACTATAACTACCTTATATACTTGTGATATATCACATTGAAAAGTAGGATGATGCAGTTGTATGAGACTTTATAGTTACATTGCCATCGATTTTTTTGCAGCTAAATATTCTAATCAGGTCGAAATTATCTCATTCGGAAA